GTAAAATATTTTTTTGATAAACACACTCCTAAAATTTCAAGTGATTTGGATTTGTAGAAAAAAAATTAAAATTCAAATACTACCGGACATTTGTGATCGTCAGATCGGCCCAGATTCAATCTAGGCCGTTGGGCTCATATGTTCATATGAGCTAGTGGGCTCATCCCAGCCTTTTCCCCATATATATATATATATATGTATGTAAATTACACAATGCTTCTATGAGTCAGTCAACTCATCTATTTATGCAGTCTCCCTCCAAAATCTATTTTAGACAGATTTTGGATTAAAAATTTGAGGAATGAAAATCTCAACTATGATGAGTATGAATTTGAAAAAAAAAATTTAAAAATAAAAAATTGAAAGTTTGGGACATACTTCTAACACACTACAATTTGAAAGTAAGATGGGACAACCATTTTTCAACATCAAATATGTAAGGGATTGTATACAATGAAACCACTTACCTTTGGTACAAGGAAGTCATAATTACTTATAACCATCCGATGTGATATCTGAAAGCTTGGGTGTGTCACAAGTTAGAGAAAATTTCTTTTGAACTTTGATCTTAGTCAATGGACTAAATGCAACTACCCAATTTCACATCTAATGGTCAAGATTCATTGTGACCATCTTGTACCAAAGGTAAATGGTCTCATTGTATAATTTTCTTATATATGCTAAAAAAAACACTAAGAAAATAGTAACTTAGGCTAAACTTAAGACATATGGTGACCTATACAATAATTGAGGACAAGAGAAGGTGAAAAAGATATCGAATGGCAATGGTTAGGCTTGTCAAACTACTCTGATTGTATGGTTGAAGCATTAGTTGTTATCAGGTCCTTTGGTCAACATTATTGTAAATTAAAAGTTCTATTGATTTGAAAATGAATCTTTGGCAATGGAAATCAGTGAATAAGAACTCGTATAAAGTTGATCTGACTCGTTGAAGTCAATTTGGTGTTGGTGTTTACAATGAAAAATTAGTGCCTGGATCATCATCATCATCATCATCCAAGCCTTATCCAACTAGTCGGGCTGGTTAAATTGAATTCTTATCTGCCACTTTGCTATATTAAAGGTCATACCCTTAGTCAGACCATAAGTCACTATATCTCTTCTCACTACTTCCATCCATGTCTTTTTGGGCTTTTGCATTGTCCTTTTAGAGCCTTTCACTTGAACCAAATCACCCATCCTAGCTGGTGTTGTTTTAGGTGGATGTTGCGCATAGCCATACCATCTATGTCTACTTTCCCTCATTTTATCACCTAGTGGACCTACCCCTAAGTTCCTTTGAATGTTTTTATTCCGAATTCTTTTTTTTTGTCTCGCCACTCATCCATTTGAACATCCTCATCTCAACCAACTCATTCTGTAGATATGTTTTTTTTTTACCGCCCAATATTCTGTCCCATAAAGCTTGGCTGGTCATATAGGCGTCCTATAGAACTTCCACTTCAATTTCATTTGTATGCGACAATCACATAAGACTTTAGAAACACATCTCCACTTCGTCCATCCAACTCTAATTCTATGCAGGACATCTTTCACATCTCTTATAATCTCATGAATTATCAATTTAAGATATCGAAGATAATTTCTTTTAGGTTACTTCTTGACTAGTTCCTCATTTCTACTTCTATTATTACTAAACTTGCATTCCATATATTGTGTTTTAGTTTAACTAATTTTAAAACCTTTGGATTCTAGAGCATCTAAAGCTTTAACTTTGCATTGATACTGTCTCTAATCCTGTTAATCAAATCCGTAAACAATATACTCCACGGTGCCTTATCCTGTAGATGCTTAGTTAACTCGTCAATAATCAAAAGAAAGAGATAGGGGCTCAACTCTTTATCCTTGATGCAGGCCTATTGTCATTGAAAATTCACTTGTCTCTCCAATAATTGACCTCACACAACTAACACACTCTTTAGTATACATTCTTCACTATGCCAATATGTCCTTTAGAGATTCATTTCTTTTCTAACACTTACCAAACTAACTCTCTAGGTACCCTATCGTATTCTTCCTCTAAATCAATAAAGATTATGTAGAGGTCTTTTCTCTTTTCCCTAAACTTCGCAATCAATTGTCTAAGTAGAAAAATAGTCTCAATGGTTAACCTCTCTGGCATATCGAATTGATTTTTTGATAGACTCATTTCATATGGTAGTCTTTGTGCGTCACTCCCTCAGCTTTATCATGTGGCTCATAAGTTTGATCCTTTGATAGTTCATAGAACTCTGTATGTCTCTTTTGTTCATGTAAATAGATACCATAATACTTGTTCACCTATTCGTCTGACATTTTCTTTATTCTCAAAATCTTGTTGAACAACTTGGTCAATCAGAATATACCAATGTCTCCCATGCACTTCCAAACCTCTATTTTCTGAGCGTTCTTATTGATATTTTTATATTCTTCTATGTTTTGATCGATTCATTCCATTGCCAAGCTTTTAACGTCCTCGTTTGTTGCTAATAGCCTTTTGAGCCTCTCATCATCCACCACCAAGTTTCCTTAGCTGAATGTCTTTTCACGATTCTCATAAAACCTCTTTTGCCACTTTTTTTAATACAATCAGCTATCTCATTCCATATAGCATTAATGTCGTTATTAGAATCCATTTTCCTTATCAATTCATTCTTAAATAAGTCTATTTTCTCTCTTTTAAATTTTAGCAATTTATTCTTGGATCTCTATTAATTCCATTCATTCTCTATCATCTCTTTATATAAATATCCATAACCATGAGTCTATGTTGTGTGGTCAAACTCTATCCTGGATAACCTTATAGTCGTTACATGATAATTGTTCTGCCTTTTTAATTAGAAATAGTTTACCTAGTTTTTATATGATCCACTTTTGTAAGTTATTAAATGTTCTTTGTTTTTTGAAATTGTTAACAAATGTAAGTTATTAAATGGCCATCTCGCTTCTATAGTAGGTGCTTGCTATTGCTAGGTCGTAAGCGATACCAAAATCAAGAATAACATCACTCATCTCATTTCTTTCCCCATTTCCATATCCTCTATCTTCCCCTTCATATCCTCTATTATCTTTTCTTACATGAGCATTTAAGTTTCTTCTTGAAAACGTCGTCTCTCCATTTGGCATTCCTTGGACTAGTCCATCCATGTCCTCTCAGAATTGTCCTTTAATTCTATCATTCAGTCCTGCCTGTGGTGCATAAGTAATAATTACATTAATTATCTCCTCCCCTTGCATAAGTTTAATTAATAGGAGCCTATCACCTACTCTGCTTAACATCTGCTACTTTATCTTTTAAAGCTTTGTCTACTATTATACCTTATCTATTTCTATTATTGTCCTTCCTATATACCAAAGTTTATGTTATATCTCCTTTATCTTATTGTATACACTAATTCAATACTCTTAGTTGTTAGAGTTACTACATTCCATGTGGCAAGGCATATCTTGTTCTTTTGGGCTAGCTTCTTTACCCCCACTTGTTCAGAACATAGTTAAACAAGTCGGAGAATAATAAAATATTGGCAGACCAAGATATCGGTAATAAATCGGTTTTATTTAAAAAATCAGAGGAAAAAATCGAGTAAAAAATACGGATCGCCAATAAATAAGGTAAGACATATCATCGTGAATATTTCGGATTTGATCAAAAAAATGTAGTGAAAAAATCGGATATGTAAATATGACACAATATAGAATTATGATTTGCAGCTATTGTATAGATATATTAAAGCCATTAAACAATAATTTTATAGCCTTAGCGATGTCATTAGAGTAATACTTGACAATTTTTGTTGAAACTTTCAATAAATCCAGCAATAATACTTACTATGTTGTCCCAGCACAAAACATATCGCAGATTTATTGGTATAAAATGAAACAACAACAACAACAACAACAATACTAAACACAAGAACAAATAACAAGAATTGTGAACCAAGTATAGGATTATTTTTCAAAAAAAAAAACAAAAAATGACCTCAATATAAGATTGTAGTTAATTAAAAGAAAACATAAAGACCCAAATATTTGAAATACTGGTCCATACAAAATGCTATGTTGTATACACCAATGAATTTAAAATAATAATAATATATAAAATTAATCAAACTTCTTTATGCATAAAAAAAAGCAACAAAATGCTTCAGAAAATTCAAATCTCGTATTGAATACCTAGCTACCTAAATTTTTAGTATCATTGAAAATTCTCTCTTGCTCTTATAAAGATGCTATGGGTTTAAAGGAAAAAAAAATGATTTTCCATTTGGTTACTCTTCTGCTAATTCTACCTATTATTTTGGGATATACGATTGTTTTGATTTTTTTTTTTTTGGAATATATTGCTTGTATTTTTTCGTGCACTTTTTTTAAGGGAGCTAATCGCTGAAATTTTCAATAGAATTTTTTGTTAAATTAGGTTTCTTAATATACTCCCACTTGTAATGTAGTTATCTTTAAACCAAAATTCAATAATAATAAGTTAATGAAAAAATAAAGTTATGAGGAAGAAGTTTTTTTGAAGAGTTTTTTTGAAGAAAGATAAAATGCAGATTTATATCGATTCCATTAATGTTATTTTTTGAAGATCTAAAACTCGGAGTTCTTAACGGATTTCTCTCCGATTTTTTGAAAGAATCGTATTTTAAACATAGACTTGCTAACTATGGTCCAGAATGGCATGTGAACCTTTGACTACTTATCAGCGCAACTGGGCGTCGTTGCGATGTATCTCTTCTAGGGAATGCCCTAGCTAAGCCTTGCTCATTTCTTACTACAACTGTGTGCTGGTAAAGTGCGTTGCTTACAGGGATTGCCCTAGCATGAAAGATGTGGGAAAAGTTTTGCACTAGCTGCAAACCTAACACAACTCTCCTTTTTGGGCTTGGGACCGACCATGGCGAAGTTGAAATCTAGTGCTTGGATGATTTTTTAATTATTATATTAAATATGCTAGACTCAGTACCAGAATGGAAGTATCTGTTTTCGTGCCACTATGCATTTCATGTATGGATTTATGGTTATGAGTTCAAATCCTGCTGCTAACACAAAAATGAAGTGTTACTTTCTAAACATTTAAAACTCGCTGGAGTTTCTCCAGGTTGACTTTTTGTGTTTGTCCGAATTAGGATGAAGTTTGAGTTTTTTGACACTGATGTAATATCAGCATATTTGCTGGAGTTAACATTCATTAGGTTACAATGCCATCTCTATTGTTTAAATTGGAATCTTGCCAAGGAGAAGTTTTTCTTTTTGGGCAAGCTCATATATGTATGTATTATGAATGGCGTACATGCACTATAAATTTATGTATCCAAACCATGTTACACGCATAACTGTATATCACTGCTGAGAAGCACTCCAATGATCCAATCCTAGAAAATCTAGTATGTATGTATTATGAATGGAGTACATGCACTATAAATTTATGTATCCAATCCATGTTACACGCATAACTGTATATCACTGCTGAGAAGCACTCCAATGATCCAATCCTAGAATTGCTAGTATAATTAGTTTATTTTTACTTTTGGATGGCGGGGGGTATTGTCAGGGATTTTATTCAGATGTCTGTGGATAAGATATTGTTTTATGGAGGCTATCAAAAATGTTTTGGAGCTAAAAGTATCCATTTCCAAAATTTGAGTACTGCTTGCTTCTTGTTGCTTCTACTAAGATTCATTCCACATGTTAATTGTCTTCAGCCTGGCCTTGAAAGATTCATGGGGACCACTGAAGGCTTTGACAATTGCTAGTCTTGTAAATGGAATTGGTGATATCATATTATGCGGTGTCTTGGGATACGGTATCGCAGGTGCTGCATGGGCAACAATGGCGTCACAAGTACGGTAAATTTGATAGTGTCTGACCTGTCAAGATATTATGCAGTGTTTTTTCTTCTCTAATTTTTAGGAACCTTCTCTATGCCATTTACTTTTTTTATTGTCCCTCAATGATTGCTTGTTTCTAGTTTGTTGCAGGTTTTATGATGATTGATTCACTGAATAAGATGGGTTTTGATCCTTACTCCATGTCTGTTCCATCGTCAACTGAACTTCTACTCATATTTGAGCTTGCTGCTCCTGTTTTCATAACAATGATATCAAAGGTTTTTAACTTGTTGCATGTCTTATTTTAATTGAATTCATGCTTTTACTTTGTATTTTTTGTTGTTAACTACTATTTAATTGTCAGGTTGCATTCTATACGCTTCTTACTTATTTTGCTACATCGATGGGGACAGTGACCATTGCGGCTCATCAGGTTATAGTTTTGGTCTTCCGCATTTTAGTAGGTATAGCTATTTGTCTGTTTAGATCTTATGCGACTTTTAATTAAAGCTTGTCCACAGGTTATGATTGGTCTATATTGCATGTGTAATGTGTGGGGGGAATCACTGACACAAACAGCACAATCCTTCATGCCAGAGTTGATATACGGCGTAAATAGAAATTTGGCAAAGGTCTATGTTATTTTCTTGTATTATCCAGCTTCATAATTGATTCAAGGGATTGATTATTCTGACTTAATTTTATTGGCTTGATCTTTTATAGTTGCCATCATGTATAAGTTGAGTTCATACAGAATATGCGCATATTTAGTTCAAGGCAATACATGCATGGTGTCTAACCAAAAGGATAAAGTGAAATGCAAGAGGAAAAATGTGTTGTTGCTACTTAAAAATATTTAGCAGCAATTTGGAGTGATATTTGCTTAAGTGCTTCTTGTTGATTGCACGTTGCAGAGTTTAGTTGTTGTATGGGCACAACAGAAGAAGGGCATAACGACAATTCTTGTAACCATTAATGTTGTTATAAATTATTGTCTTTTGAGGCTGCTAATTGTCATTGGTCTCCAATTTATGCCATAGAAATTCTGCAGAAGGTTGAAATTGTAGGTCGTTATTTTGTAGAATAACATTACTGATTTTTCCCAACAGAATATGCATGCTAATGATTTTGCATAAAATGGATTTTTAGTATATTCTGCATGCTGGTTTGCAGCATAAAGAAAAATTATTATCATGCTGCATCCATATATGCTTGTTCTTTCTTCTTGGATACATGTTGAATTTTGTTTATTCTTCATGCACATCCTTGTTTCATAATATCCCACTTTAAATAAATATGACAGCAGATCGCTAGGATGTGGATGGGACAATCGTACAGTACACTTGGGGTTTTGAAAATTTCCTCTTTGAACCTAAAGATTGTAGACAACCGTGCTTCAGAGTTCTTTACCGAGAGCTTCTTTGCATATAGTCTGGGAAGATACACTACTATGACCATGTTGTGACCCTGAACTAGATGCAACAGAGACAAGATGAGCGGACCTTTCTGATCTGCTAATCAACTTGTTTTTAGCCTGAACTAAATCCCAACTCCACACCCTACTTTGGTGTTTCAAACTTTGATCTTAAACAGTATCTTAGTTAGAGAATTGCACAACTTATGTTGCCTCTTGTTTGGAGAATGGCTGTTTATGCTTTTATTCTGATCAATGAAGATGTACTATTACTGTTCCAATAAGATAAATGAAGAGATCGGATGCCTGTCTATATTCATTTCAACGGGTCGCTATTAATCTATAGGATTTGGATTTGACTCTAAAGTTATTTCTCTGCCAAAGTTATGCAGGGCAAAATTATTCTTAGTTTTAATTTTCATTTAATTTCAAAGGATGTATATTTCATTTTTAGTTTTAGGGTTTTTAAGTTTTTTTAGGAATTCTAGGTTTTTTTTTATATATTTTTATTTACTATTCACTAGTTACTATTCATGGGTACTGTTTATGGATTACTGTTCACAGGGCTAAATTTGTTAATATGAATTTTGTGTTTTAAGTTAGTTTGTTTGGGTTATTTAATTATTGTAAAGACATTTAATGCCTTTGAATATTAAATTATAATATATAAGAGGTGGGCCTTGGGCTATTCCATGTGATTTTCAGAATTGAAAAAGAAAGAAAAACTTTGGCTTTTGGAACCCTAGTTTGAGATGAGGAGAAAACCTTAGCGTTTCTCCAATTGTTGCTTATGTTTGGCTTGGCTTCTTACTGTTTTTATTGTTCTTCAAATTTTCCTACATCTAAAAGAGTTGGTGTCACAAACACATGTACACATTCATGAGGAGCCTTCCACATTGAATCACAGTATTGGACAATGTACTGTGATGAACACATAATTTCCCATGAAGAATACATCAGCATGAGAAGTTACTCTGCATATTGGAGATGGTTAGATGCACAATTGAATCAGGCATATCTGCTTTATTAATTGCAGTTGCAGGTTTGGTACCTTTTTGATATCCTAAAACATAGCAAATAATTTTGGCATCTAGTTTGTGTTTTCCCTATAATTAACACATACACAGATGCGTACGCGCGCGCACACACACACACATACCTATGCATTTATGTAGTGTTACTCTTGTTACTAACACTTTTTGGTTCTTGACCAGGCAAGAGCATTACTCCAGTCACTCATAATTCTTGGAAGTCTAAGTGGATTTCTCATAGGGAGCATTGGGACCTCATTCCCTTGGTTATGTCCTCATATTTTCACAAATGATCATGACATCATTAGAGAGGTTTTCTTTTAGTATCAATTCCTGCAGTTTTATCTGACATTCTTCAATGCACATTGTGGAACTTCTTATATCATCCAATTTTTAGTGTAAGAACTACTGATGATGTTGAGCTTTCCTTGTTGTAGAAGGTACTATATTTGCCAGTGAAGCACTTCGAATGATAATGTTGTTCTCGTTCATACTTATTGATATTTTATAAAGTTATATGTGAAACGTAAGCTGTTAGTAATTAGTATTTATTGATGTGGAGCAAAATTTTGGGTAAAAACCTATGTTTATTTATAATGTGATATCCCTCAAATAAGTATGTAGAAATGCTACAAATGTCAAAAAGACACCTCTTCTGAGCTATGAAGATACATCTAGAACTTCATGTAACTTATTGAAATAGCTCTGCCTGATGTCGAAAAGAGCTAGGAGACAAACTCTGGATCACTCGAAATGGGTACCTGGATACGTATGCCTTCTAGAAGTTACGGCTTCCATGAAGTTATTGCTTCATCATGATATTTATCATAAAACCAGAATAATTCCTATAGCATTTTTTCTGTCTAAGCAATTTGTGAATGTCTAATGATACTCAAGATTACACAGTCGTTCATTATATCATTATTTGTAATGGGTTTAGTTTCCTTGTTTTGTGCAACTTGATGCATCCAATTCTCTTATGAGTCGTGAAAATAGAAACAGGAGCTTTGAGTTTTTTTTGCCTGTCATTTAATCTCCCTTTATTACATGTAATCATATTTATCAATTGGATAGTTCCCTATTTCATCCTTGAAATGCGTTTAAATGCAGATGCACAAGGTATTGCTTCCATATTTTGTTGCATTGATGGTGACGCCTTCAATGGATAGTCTTGAAGGAACCTTACTGGTGTGTTACAATCTACAGTTGGTCTGATTAGATGTGTGAAGGTTCAGTTTTCTAAGTTATGTGAGCAGTTCTGTTTCTATTGTCACAAATGGCTTAGAAACCTTTTGCTTGGTGTTGAACTATATTTTTAGTTTTTTTCTAAGGCATGGGGATTTATAATCAAAGCATTTAAATTACAGTTGTAACTTGTGTAAGTTATTTGCTAATGCTGTACAGCAGCACACTTGTGCACACACATGCATGGGTACATAAATACACCCACACTTAACACATTAAGCTGCCAAAATCATGCCGTGTACTGTAGAGAACACAGTATCTATTCTTTAATATGCATAAAACCATAAATGGACATCAAATGCACAAAATTGTTCGTTAAAATTAGATACACATTTACGAGTTCATAACCATTGATGCTTTGAAGTTCTATGAATAGTTGCTACCATCTGGACTTTTGAATGGTCCTTAGTTTGGACTTCCAGACTATCTTTTTAGATAGCATGACTTTGGATTGCGCAGTTGTGCCTCCTTAATTACAAAGTTGTTCCAAATTGACATCAGAAACCAATATGTCAATGAAGTAACACCAAGACATTCAGGAAATGTTAATGATTCAAGAACCAAATGATGTGCAAAAAATTAAGCCTTAATAACTTTCAAGTTTTAATAATGAAGTTAAAGCATCACCTCTCTTCATGAGGAAGGTTTCTAGTTGATCGTATCCATATCAAGACTTTAGGAATGGATGAATTTCAGTCCTAGTTTTATGTTCAAGTACCTTTTATTGATTTTGTAGTTCAAAATATAGAGTACAAAATGTTCCTTGTACAAGCAGAATGATGATATAGTTGTTTACATGAGTATTTGCCCTTAGTTTAAGTTCTAATATGCATCTATGACTACTTCAACGCAGGCAGCATTTTATCTTTGTTGTTCAATGATCCAAAGGTTCTTGAAGAACAACGATCCTTGGATTTTAAAGGACAAATATATGAAGATCTTATCTATCAAAAAAGAAAAATAAAAATCCAAAGATTCTACTTTGATTTGCAATCGAAACACTATGCTCAAGATTATATTGAACTTTCCAGCCTTCAGTTTGAAACTCATTTGGTGCATTAGCATACCCTTAACAAGCTAAAAAGATTTCTGACTAAGACCACCTTCTATAACAAGCATCATGTGACAGTTGGCAAGTCAAGATGGGAAGTCTTGTTGCTTTTTATATTTATGAATTGTACTAATATTTTACAAAATGGTGCTTTTGCGAGGGAACATCTTGTAATATCCTCAAGGTGATCCAATACACACTATGCAATATTAGAGTTTGCATACTGGAGCACCTCAGCAAGAAATGAGAAAGAACCATCTATGAGAATACCACTACAAAGTGGTTAGAATGAGGTTGGAGGAGTGTAAGAGTGAGATAGGAAATATGTAATACAAAGGCCACATAGCTGCTTGCTTCATGTATGTGTACGTGTATGTGTGTGCGAGAGAGAGGGTGGGTGGGAGGGAGGGAAATGTCTGTGAAGTGTTCCGTCACATTCTAGCTCTTTATTGACTAAAAAGAAAAACAAGATGCTGCATTTAACTTTTTCATCCCGTGTTTCTGAATCATCATCATCGATATGCATAAAATATTAGAAGAATGGCAACAGCAGATGTGCATGTGAAGTCTTCCATTTGCATCTAATGATGATGAGTGCCTTAAATTCTTTTGTTTTAGAAAATCTATGTATTGTGATTAGTCCAGCAATTTCCTTTGAATGGTGACAACTGAGGGTGTTGTCCAAGATATGAGAGGCACTTCTCAGCAAAGATCTCCGAGATGCAGTGCATTCTGTATTCCTGTTTGATTGAGAAGCTTCCTCTCAGGATATAGGGTGAAGCTCTTTTCCTACTCATTGCCATATGCTTAGAAGTTAAAGCCATGAACTGATGGGTTATATGGGTTTCCTTGGCTCTGTTGGTCAGGCTTTAGTTTTCAGAAACAATTGCTACCATTTCCTTCTTCATGGAAATGGAGGTCCTAATTCTGGTTTTGTTAATGGTCTTGAAGCTCTCACTCGACTAGTCATTTTTCTTGTAGCCATCTACCCAGTAGATCTCTGCAAAACTATAAAAAACTCAGAAGTTCCATATTTTCCATTTTTGTTTTTATGTCACTGACAAGTCGTGTCTAAGTACCTCATCTTAAGATTGTTAATAGGATGGTGTGCATTATCCTTGTGATCAACATTCTTATTTTTGCATTGCTATGGAAAATAAACAGTACAGAGTGAATAATGAAGACCGGGATCTGCTAGTTGCATATAGGTCTACAGAAAGTTTAGGTTGTGTAGTCAAAAGCCTTACATTGACTTAAGAACTAGCATTGGGAGTTCTGTGGCTATTTTGTGGACAGCGATTTCATAGCTGTTCTCTGGGCTACTTAAAGTGATGAACCATGACTAAATGTATGTACATGCTTCCCTCATCTTATGAAAGGCTCATCATTCAGTATTGCTTGATAAGGTTATAAATTAGATAGAAATTACTTTGTTTCTCTTGCAGACTTGCAGTTAGTCTGTGCAACCTCAGAGGTAATTTAGGTCCTCAGCTTATTGATAATTGATGGATTTTTCTTTGGTGGTTTTTTTGTTCATGCAGGCTGCAAGGGACCTGAGATTCCTAAGTTTATCAATGGCTGGTTGCCTTGTTGTTGGTGGCGTTCTGCTATGGGTGTGCAATTATTCTTTTGACCTTTGAAATTCGAAAATAAATTCATTTGTTGTGATTAGAGCTAAGAATTATCCCATTTGAGGTGGCTGACAAGGACATTTTAAATCAATTTAGCATGTGAGGTGCTCTGGCTATATACTAGATAGCAATTGTGCTTATTAATTCTTGTCTATTGTATTTTGATCTATATTTTTATGTCCAAGAGATCTGCTTTGTGTGTTTTTGGTTCTCCTCTACAAGTTATCTTCCATTGAAAGTAAACAACTGCTTGAATGATATTCTTAATGTGTTCCTTGGCTGTCTTTATGAGTTCCTGATTACCTCCTCGTAAATAGCATTTTTTCTATCCACTATATATGTCTTTTTGTTTCACAAGTAATCTGATGAAGCATTTCATATCTTCCCAATGTGACTTTGTAATGAATGACTCAACATGCTAGTTCACTGTGGCACGAGCTTTAGATTACGTTGGGTGTCTCACTATCATCCATCACCTCTTTTTTGGACATGTCTCCTCAGGGAATGCATGTTAGATATCCTGTATTACAATAATCAGGGCTCTGCTTGGTGCTCTGAGTCAGCTTGGCTTGGTGCCCTGGCGAGTCCAGATACAAGACCTTGGGACTTGCCCGAGTCTCAGATTTTCTAAAGATATACCTTTTTTTTTTTAAGCATATCTTGTCCAATTCGGACATGGTGACTCAGCCTCTTGGTGATTCCCAGCTGGTCTATACTGTATTTTGGTTCACAAAAGAGATTTGCCGTTATCATTATTCTTATTATGTGTTAGTATCTATGCCTCTTATATTTCTTTATCACCTACAAATATAGATGATTGTGGGTATTGTGAGTATATGATGCAAATTAGTGAGCCTGTATCAGTATAGGACATTCTTCAACCACTTTGAAGAGCATTTCACATCTTCTGATATGATTTTGTGAATGGCTCCACATGCTAGTTCACCGTGGCAGGAGCTTTAGATTATGTTGGGTGTCACACTATCATCCATCACCTCTTTTTTGGACATGTCTCCTCAGGGATTGCATATTAGATATCCTGTATTAAAAAGATCAGGACTCTGCTTGGGGCTCGCCTGATTCAGCTTGGCTTTATGCCCTGGTGAGTCCAGATACAAGACCTTGGGACTTGACTAAGTCTCAGATTTTCTAAAGAAATACCTAATTTATATTTTTTAAAAAATATCTTGTCCGATTCGGACCTGGTGACTCAAGCTTCCTGGTGATTCCCAGCACAAGCCCATGTTTTTACATACTATAGTTGTCTATACTTTATTTTGGTTTACAAAAGAGATTTGCCAAAATTGTTATTCTTATATATGTTTCAGTACCTATGCCTTTTGTATTGGGCGTGGTTTGTATAGAGCCTAGGCTCTAAACAATCAAATTAGAGCCTATCTTCAAATAGTATCGAGAAATGTGGTTTCAATACTGAAAATCTTTGTGATAGCTTTAAAATATATTTTCATCTTTATTTATAAAGTTTAAAGCTTTAAAAATGGTGTAGATTGACAGAACTATGAAAATTTGAAAATCTTGAAAATTGACGGTCCAAAAATGCGTTACAAAATACACTATTTCCAAAACTTGAAATCTAACTTTTTCTCATGTCCATGCATCTTGATGTCGAGATGATCAATTTGAGGATATTTGGGCATCAAAACAACCCCTTCTAGTGAAAATTTTGAGGTAGGCTCTAATTTGATTGTTTAGAGCCTCGCCTCTATATAAACTTTTACCTTTTGTAATTTTGTTATTACCGTACAAATATAGATGATTGTGGGTATTGAGTATACGCTGCAAATTAGTCAGCCTGTATCAGTATGGGACATTCTTCAATCAGAGCCTTATACTTTTGGCCAATAATTGTGCAAATGGTGCAGCATATTAATGGCTTACAAGATTGCATTTCCCAATGGTCAGATGTTAATGGCTATTATGGGCATAAATGTGTATGGCATCTATTGCAGGTTTCCCAAAATGTGGAACTTAGTTTGTCTTCCCCCATGACCTGACCCCTTTGGCAGCCATGAGAGAAGTTGTATCATGGCACTTAGTTGGATTGGAGCTGCAAGTCATGCATCTCTCACTATGAGATCCATGAAGGTTCCATGGAACAGTGTATGGATCTGGTCTTCACCTATGACTCTTGGTAGCCACCTAGATCTTGCACAAACCATTGAGTATTGCATGACTTGGTCTTGTATGCGGGTGGACATGATGTCACTTCTTTTCACCTTTAAAGGTGAACTCTTTCGGGATTTAGATGTTATATGAGGCTGAACATTAGGATTCCACACTGCCACACTACCACTTAGAGACACATATATACGATCACAATGGAAATGGTAGAATTTCTCTTGGGCACATATAATATTGTTGTTCAACTTCAGGCTGGGTTGGCTCCATAGCCATAGATTCACTAAAAAGTTTGAAAACATTGAAATTTATAATTTACTGCAAAAATATGAAATTTGTATTCCAGAACAGTCTATAACTCATAAAACTCGTGAAAACTGACAGTGATAACCTTTGAACTCATTAACGATCTTTCTGATGCAACCATAATTGGATCAAACAAGAATGAGTGCTGGGCAAGCCTTTTGGGAGTCCAGGCCCATACTTCTACTCTTCTCATAAACCACGTGTGAATCAAACAAAATAAGAGAGATAATTTCTCATGCCTAAGCATTATGAAAAATGCAGTGTCTGCAAAACCATTTCCATCTCAAGATTCAGGGGGCTTCATTGGGTAAAGACCAATCCAGAACAACACCTGGTGTACTTTGAGAGGGGGCCTATTCTAATTGCCCGGTGGGGCTATATACTTCTGTGGCCACCCTTCTCCTCCCCTCGGAGTTGTAATTCCTCTTTTGTAAAGCTTTTTTGGACCCCTTAGGGGCTGTATACGGTGCCCTTTCAGAGGGCCTTATTTTTTTGTAGACCTTATTATACAGTAATACAATTACAGTCAACTTCCCTCTGAAAAAAAAAAAATCACCTATGTGTATGTATTTGTCACTCACATTATGTGGCCGTGAAGATTTGTATTAGAGGTTTCCAAAAAACGCCTTGGTATTTTGATGTTTAAGAGTCCAAATTGTGTACGAAGTGATTCTTCTCAAGTGAAGTAACAAAACCCTTACTTTATTTAAGGTTTTGAGGTCCTTAGTATTACTAAATGAGTGCACATCTGTATTGACAGATTCTAGTTGTAGAAAGACTGGGCCCTGAAATCTTTTCTTTTAGGGAGAATATTTGACTGTATTGTATTAATATTGAAACTTACTGTTTACAAAATGCTGCCGTTTGTACAAAAAATTCGGCAGAGATGCCTGCTGTTTGCAATGATAAATACGAGAAGGAAAGGACCAAGAGTTGGCAGAGGGTGAATTGCATACAGAGAAATGAGGGATTCACATGTATCTATTCAATGATCCCTATTCACAATTGTGAAAACTCTTTGGGAACTCAGCTCTGGATCTTCTGGCCGTAAACTATGACGGCCACTTAGTCCTGCGTAAACCTGCTTCTACACATACCACTTGAACGTAATTTGGTAAAGTAGTTTGTATGATAAAGAGAGAGGGTAAGAGAGAGAGCAAGAGATGATAGAGAGAGAGGGGAGGGATGAGTGGGGAGGGGAAAAGAGGAAGAGGGAGGTTCGGGGGGAGGGAGGGGAGTTGGAGAGTCAGTTTTGGTCCCCGGATGAAATCAATGGGTAGCCATCCGCTATCCCACTGCAATCAGCTTTTGCACACCACCCTATGCTTTTGCCAAAATCCCAGGAAGAAGAAGTCTCAGTTTTGGGCCTTTGGAGGTGGCAGGTGGAGTTCCAGTTGAGAACCCACCATGCCCTGTTTTGCCAAACTCTCCGCGTTCACATGAACGTCTCTCCAATTATGTTTTAAATATGGCTAGGATTTGTTCAAAAGGGGGAAGGTTTCCAAGAAGCCACAACTGGATTTGAGGACCAAGACATCTCAAGAAATGCCCCTGCACTGGAATAGATGGCCAGAATCAAACGGTTTTAGAACTTCTGGCTGTGCTCGTGCCTCAGAAGTGGCGAATTTTGTGGTCCCAATGGGACCTGGAAAGGTGAGGAATACCTGGGATTGGCTATCTCGAAACTGTCCCCCTATTCACGCTTGCCCAGGTTGCCAAGAGAGCAATCGTCAAAATTTAACATAATGGTCCTTGACACTGGGGGAGACCAGTGACTGGATCATTTAGATCTAATGGAGATTTAATGGTTTTCAGCTCCAATATATCACATACATTTCTTTAGTAAATGGAATTAAGACTTCTGAGGCCAAGGTTTTAAAACTAGATTTCATACTATCATAGAAACTGTGAAAACTGACTCCCATTAATAAACTGACAGATTGGAGAAATGGAGTCGGTCTTTTGGGTGTTAGGTTACTATGTTAATGATTGCAACAATACATCCAAAGTTCCAGTACTGAACTACCCAAAGAAAACATGACCGGTTGAACTCCTGTGCATAAGTTTGAGTTTTGAAATGATTTAAATACTGTTAGCATGCTGTACAACTACCACATAAAATCTAATAGTCACATACGGTTCCCTTAAACACACTACACCATTAACTACTTATAAGGACTCATCAAGCAAAGGCACCTTTTTTTTAAATTGTTAACTTTAGTATAGAGTATTGGAAAATTACAAGAGAGAGAGGCAATACACAGGAGGGGTGCTCAGTACAAAAATTGTGTAACAACCAAAAAAGAAATGAACACTAAGGCACTTCCGGTTTATGTTGGAGATACAAGCACCAGCCCCCTAACTTTCTTCTTACCATGGCGAATGAGATAGACATGGCCTTAATCTTCTCTTTTAGCCTTGTCATACTTCGCCATTTGCTTTTTAGAAACCTTCTATTCTGTTTGACCAGCGATTAAGCTTAATTTCCAAGTATAAACCCAAGCTGTGATAGCTATTTGGTTACCAGGTCAGCAATTTATTCAGGCTTTCCCATTGAAAGTTGAAAAGGTGCAAATTTGCTGCCCATGGTTCTACAGCAACAGGCATAGGAAGAGCAAATCCTGCAGACTGAATATTCTCTTTGCACATGATACTTTAAGCATTCCTCACTGTATTATGTTGTCGATGGTCAATAGCTTATCTAGTAGAACCAGCCAGCGTAAGGCAATCGTTTTGCATGGGAAGGTTCAACTCTGTGAGACAGGTGGTTCTGGCTGTGATCCATATTTACTTATTGTAGAACGACTTTCCTGTGAAATCACTTTGCTGTTGGGGCCCCAAACTATTCAGTCCTCTTTTCTGATTCTATGATATAATCCATGCAAAACTGATACGTGTGCAGTGAAGTGATTGATTTACTTACCCAAAAAAAAGTGATCGATTTCGTACTCCTTTAACCCCCCTTCCAAAAGCATGGCACCACATCATGCTGATGATGAAAATTTGAATAACATCAGCCACTACCACATTTCGGTCCTTGCGATGGTGAATAGTCTTCGGGACTGCTCTCAGTGGTTCCTCATGTATCCACACATTCTTCCGTAGCAGTCTTTTTCTCATCTCTAGCCTTCACTTACTTGTAGGCCTTGTGCTTTTCATGCACTTGGTCTTTGCCCATTAAGCACTCGACGTACAGTGCTCCTCTTCTCAGTGGCTTTACTAGCCACCCGTCACCAACTTTGCTTCTTTAAATTTTAACACTTTCTAGGAACTTGTACAACAACAAAAAAAAGAAAAAGGAAGAAAACGAGAAACCCAAAAGAAAAAGTAATTTACATGTATATGCCTTTGCGTCCGTCTTTTAGCTGCAATTAAGGAATACAGTTTTTACGGAAATGAGATGAGTCAATTCTTGTATGCCTCCCAAAAGACGTCCGTATTCCCCTGATTTATTTTCATAAAAAGCAAGAGTGTGCAGTATGACGGATTAATTTTTATCTGAGTTTCAGTTAATGCATGGAACTTGTTTTTCTGCAATTTTTTACCGTACCGCTTTTTTTGGTATACTTTGTGCAGAATACTGCAGGTAGAGGGTGTGGTTTGTCAGGGTGCTGGTGGATTTTAGCAGCATTTCAATGGGTATATCAAAGCCTCAAACTTCTTATTTTTTCTGCTGATGCATTTACTTAGAAGAAGCACTAATCATGAGAGAGAGAGAGAGAGAGAGAGAGAGAGATGCATGTTCATGTATCTGTATATTTTGCATATTTGATATATATCACTAGTGCATGTGACGTGCATTTGATTATGACTTGCTTCTAATAGTCTACACTTTTCAGGTCCGTTTTCTACTTTCACTACATCGACTTACTGTACCACAGGGCGTGTTATATTATGAGGAATTCAGTGACAGGGCGCTTGGCCATCTTAAGGCCACATAGGAATTTGCATTTTACCATTGAAAGCTACCTAGGGCAGCTTTTTTTTATGGTAAGTATCTGCTTAGAGCCGTGCAATCAACTCTCCCCAGCCCTCCATTTCTTTGTATATCGTACCATAAGTGATAAGCCCAATATTGAGACTCTGATTTGTTTCCAAAAACTCAGCTCGAAAGTTGAAGCAATGCTCCCATACAAATTTTCATTGATATCTCATGTTTAGCCTTTCCAATCTTTCAATTAATGTAAACTGCGATGTTTACATCAAATTACTGCCATTGTATGGTCCAATTTGGTGCTTTCCAACTAAGAATCAAGTAATGCTTAGGATTTGATCATGTGTACCATTAGAGCTTCCGATCGGTCCAACCTACTATAGGTTCCTCCGTTTATAGATTTTTGGCTAAAAGAACTAGCCGGAAATGGAGGCAAAAGTGAGCATAAAATTGACATGTGCACACATGCACATGAAACATGACGAGCCAGATCATGCATACCATTGCACGTAATAACATATGCAAGGCTGGTTTGACCACTCAAGCCCCTTTAAGAACCTCCTGGTGGCCCTTCCTACACCTCTTCAATTCACTCCAACCGTGAAACCCAACCTTAATTCTACCTTGCAAGCTTTAGACCCCAAATAGAGGTTACGCTAGCCCTCCCTATTACACCTTGCAAAACCTTGTTATGTTCCAATAACTAGTTTGCTCCTAGACACTATTTTGACTACCACTTGATTATCGACAAACTATATCACCAGCTCCATAAATTTTTCAAAAACCATGTAAATGTCCTAATGCCTAGGAAGCAAGTGTAGGAACTTGTGTGGATAAAGAACCCCACAATGATAGAGGAATGAAAAAATAAGTGGGAAATTTCTAGGGGTGGCAATGGACCCGAACCTGACCGACCCATTGGGCATACTCCACACGGGTTTGGGTATGGGTCTAGCATTTGGACCAGGTGGGTGGGGTCCAGGTCCATCTCTATGGACCCGAAATTAGGCATGGGTAGGGTACGGGTTCCAATGGACCCGACCCTGATTTATTATAGAAAAAACTTTTATTGGTTTTATATTTACTATGTAATGTCAGGGCTATAAAATTGAAGATTTTGCCCAAAAAGAAAAACCCTTTTATTTTGATTCTCCCTTTCCTAATGTAACAAAAGCCCATACATAGAGAGGAACTCATCTTTATGCAGCCTTTTCCCCTATTGTATTAACACAAAAAAAAAAAAAAAAAAAAGACATCCGGCCTTTCTATTTCCTCAACGTTCTAAGTCTTTTCACCAGAAGGTCCAGAGCAGAAAGAAGAGCAAAACAGAAGAGCAGAGGGAAACAAAGACCAGAGGTGCATATGCATTAGGGGCCTGCAGAGAGACGCATTTGACCCTAATTCTCTTAGTTCCTTCACTCATGGCCTCCTGCTGAAGCCATTATATCCTCATATTTTCCGGTGCCGGGCCTCTCAAAATTCAGGCAGGCATCTCCCTTTATTAACGCTGCGAAGTGTCCCGTCTCCGGTCAAAAGTCACTGGGCAAGGTCGGGTCCTGGGTCCAGCATTCTGGGTACTCGTACGGGAACGAGTTTGGGGCACTCTGGACCCGTCAAGTCCGGGTGCATGTCTATCTCGTACTATTTGGGTCTAGATCTGAATCCAATAGAACCGGACCTGTACCGGATCCATTGTCACCCTTAGAACCTGATTAGCCAGGGTAGACTTGGGGCAGTATCCAAAATATACACATGTCAATCCCCCTTTCTGATTTCATATGTTTAGCGTTCTCTCTTTCTCAAAATTAATTCTTACATGTTTCATCTGTGTGTCTGCTCCATGTATGGCGAGATCTGTTAGGAAGACCTGGAATTCCTTTGCTTTGTATTCTTTTACCTCAGGGAAGGCTTTATCTGTGAATTCCCAATACATATAAATTGGGAAAATGACCTTTACCCCTCCCTGAAACTTTTATCCCTATTAGCTTGGTTCATCAAAATCCCTACCCTCTCAAATTTAGAATTTTGAGACCGTTAGCCATCTCATTGTGTTTTTTTTTATTCTTTTTATAAATTTGATTTTTTTATTTTACAAAATGTTCCTTTCCCTTTCTCTTCCGTTGCCTAAAACCAATTTTACCTTTGTGGATCCCACTTTATAAATTTAGACTAAATAAAAAAGGAATTTTCCTTTAGTATTATGACCTATTTTACAATTATATCAATATCTTTTGAACTTGAAAAATGATTAATCAAGATATTTGTTACTATTGTTAATAGATTATTATTATTTATTTATTCATTTATTATTATTTTTATTATCAAAATACCTATAAGAGATTAAATATTTAACAATTAATATATTATTGTTGTTATTATTGTTATTATTAGAATTATTAATTATTAATGATAATTATTATCATCATCAATAAAATTTATATATCAAGTCACAAAAAAGAAGAAGAAGAAGAAGATGACTAATGTAAGGGTTTTGCATTTTGTAAAATAAAGAGATCAAATTTGTAAAAAAAAAAAAAATAACATAATTAAGGGCCTAATGGTCCCAAAGTTTTAAACTTGAAAGGATGCAAGGGATTTTGGTTAATCCAATGGGCTAATAGAAATGGAAATTTCAGGGAAGGGGTTAAAAATCATTTTGCCTGTAGACTATATGTTACACCATTTCTCAACCATTCAATCTGAATGAGGGTTGGGAATGCTCGTCAGAATGTCACGCTAAAATATTGTTTGATTTTTAGTATTTTTATAAAATATTTTAAATGAAATTTGTGGTGTCCCTTTTAGTAGAGGGATTCCAAAGGTTTTTCAATTCCGAAAGATTTGGAAGCTTTGTCGGCAGAGAGGGATTTGAAAGCTTTCATGGAGGAAAAAAATTCAAAATCTTTGTTAGAAAGAGATTTGGAAGCTTTGCCAGTTGAGAGAAATTTAGCCTCTTCCAGTGGTACATACGTGGCCTTGGAAATTGATCAGATGAGTGAGAAGTCCGAAGCTTTGTTTGCAGATATATGTTTGGTCTCTCTAGACCGTCATCCTTTGCTTCATCTCTTATTCTTAAAATTGAAGGAATGCATAGATGATGTAGAAAACATACAAGATTTATATGGTTGTATACAGTTAAACTCAATTTGTATTCGTGTGTGGCAATGAAGATTGCCCCTACAGAGCAGAGCCAGCCAAGGAATATAATTGGGTGCCATTTTTTTGCAGCAGCTGGTCTTGGGTTGATGAAAAGCTTGCCGAGAGAGTTGTATCATTTATGAAAGGATTGGACTTGAGTTCCGGTTGACATTGTGCTCTCTGACTTGATAAATTAGAGCATTCAGAATTTATATAAGTTACGAAAGTAGAGTATCCTTCTTGGGCTATTTTAACTCTCATTGCAAAAATAATGTGCAGATGCATGCGCGTGTGTATGAGAGAGGGGCCGTAATCCCAATAACATGTGTACTTATTCTCTGAATTCCCCTCTAAAACAGTCATGGAATACTGTACAACAATCACACATTCATCTAGCCCCACGATCTCTGGACCTCTGCCCAACCTCACTGATAAGAGATGAATAAGCTGCATAATCAGAAACCAGCCCCTTCTCCCCTCTCAACTTTACCAGTTCCTTTGATCCCTCACTCCTGCAACGCCCATCCAACAATATATTATATGTAACATCATCAGGCGCAATCCCAAGGTTAAGCATAGCATTCAAAAGCATCCCTGCATTCTTCATCTGCCCTTGTTTACACAACCCGTTCATGAGTACATTATATGTGATCACTCCAGGAACAATTCCATTAATTTTCATCTCCTCCAATAACTTAAACCCCATCATCACGTCACCTCTCCTACAATAGCCATCAATCACCATTGTGTAAGTGGCCACATCAGGTGTTAACCCCTCTCTTAGCATCTCCCTAAGTGCTTTTTGTGCATCAGGGATCCAACCCTCTCGGCTAAGCCCTGCAATGAGAGCAGTATAAGCTACATTATCCAATTCAATTCCTTCCTTCACCATTTCTCTTCGAATTTCCATGGCAGCTTTTATATCTCCTTCCTTACAGAAACCATCAATCAAAGTTGTGTAGGTTATCTTATCAGGCCTCAAACCCATCTTTCTGATCTCAAAGAAAAGCTCTCTTGCTTCTTTCAATTCCCCCACTTTGCAATGCCCATATATTAGTGAATTATACGTTACTAGGTCTGGTTTCAAGCCTTTTTTCATCATTTTTTGATATATTTGCAGACCTTTTTCTATGTTTCCCTCTTTACAATAGCCGTCAATGAGAGTCGTGAAGGTGATGCTGTTAGGGACCAGGCCTCTCTCATTCATTTCATCAAACAAATCACAAGCTTGTTCAATCTTTCTCTCTCTACATAAGCCATTGATTAGCACACTGTAAGTTACAACATCAGGTGCAATTCCCTCTTCCACCATTAACCTTTTCAAAGAGAACCCGCCCTCTAAATCACCCTTCTTGCATAAACCATTGATCAGAGTGTTGAAACTCACCACAGAGGGAGTGAGCCCTCGATTCCCAATTTCACGAAACAAGAGCTGTGCTTCCTTAATTTTTCCAATTCTAGAGAATGAATGCATGATCATGTTGAAAGTATAAACATTTGGTGGAAACCCATAGTCCAGAATCTCAGAGTAAAAGGCCCAAGCAGCAGCTGGAGTATTCGATTTCATGATGCAGTCCATAAGGTAATTGCATGCTTGAAATGGAAGCTTAAAACCATGTTTTTTTACCAGTCTCAAGCATTGAATTGCATCTGATATGAAGCCAGAATCAATGTAAACGTTCATCAGAAGCTCAAAAGATGTAGAGCGAGAACGTTGGTCATGGCATTGCACATCTTCCCCTTGGGTTTCGAGGAGCGCATTAAATACCGAAGAAGCAGAGTCTCGGCCCTTGCGAGAGACCACAGTTTTGAGGAGAGAGAGAGCTTCAGGGACCATCCTGTGTAGAGAAAGAAAGTGGGTCATGGCGCAATATGACTGAATGGTGTGGCGAAAACCCTTTTGGGCAGCAACCCATTTGAAGAAAGAGAGTAGAGAAGGTGGGTCTTGTGATGGATGAGAGAAAATAAGGTGAACAACGTGGTTTGCTGTTAAATTGGGGACTAATTTCCGGAGAGAGGAGTCAAAATTTGCCCTGCTTTGAACAGCTGTGGATATGGCATTTAGGGTCTGCTGGTTTTCTGGTAAGAAGGGATTGAAATAGGTATAGATACTGCAAGGCTTTGGCCTAGGAATCGACATTAGAGGCCTGCAACGACATGGCCTAGATAGAGGAAATTAACATGGCGTATGGATCTGCAACCACTCAATTTGAATACAATTTACAGATGCGGCGCCCGACCGTCGCTAAGAAAACAGGTCATGCCCACGAGGAACATTGCTGATGACTCTCTGTCTAAATGCGCGTTATATGGGGAAATCAAGGGTCTAATGAAATAAGGGAAATTTAGGGCTCGTTTCGATAGGTGGGAATTATGAAGAAATTCAGGCGATATATGGATTCTCAATATCAAGGATTTTTATAATGGATTCCACAAATATCTTGTTTGGTTAAATTATACAAAATTTACGGATTTCTTGCCATCAGTACTCTGTCTATTGTTTGGTAAATGTTTTGATAAAATTTCTCTCTCTAAAATTTAATATCTTGTCTATTCAAAATTTAAAATTTGAAATTTATCTAAAAATTTGAAATAATTTCTCTCTCTAAAATTTAAAACTTGAGATAGTTCTCCTCTTCAATACTTTTGAGATAGTTTTTCTTTTTGAACATTTTTAAGTAGTTTTTCTCTCTAAAATACGATATAGTTTTTCTCCCCAATTTTAAGATATTTTCTCTTTTTAAAAGCTAAAATTTAAGATAATTTCTCTCTAAAAGTTTTGCAATAGTTTCTTTTTTTAAAAAAATTTTATGTACTTTTCTCTCTAAAATTTGGTATAGTTACTCATTTAAATTTTAAAATGCTTTCTCTCTAAAACTTCAAGTTTGAGATAGTTTCTCTCTCTAAAATTTTGAAATACTTTATCCTTTTAAAATTTGATAGTGTATTTCTAAACTTTGATCTACTCTTTTTCTAAAGTTTAAAATTTGAGATACTTTGTCTCTCTAAAACTTAAATTTTGAGATACTTTATCTCTCTATTTTTTTTTTGAGATAGTTTCTCTCTCTAAAAATTTGATGTACTTTCTCTATTTAAAATTTGATATAGTTTATCTCTCTAAAATTTTAATAAATTTTCTTTCTCTAAAACATCTCCAAATAATTTGGGATAGTTTCTATCTCTAAAATTTTTTAGATAATTTCTCTATCTAAAATTTGATATAATTTCTATTTTTAAAATTTTAATATATTTTCTCTTCCTAAAATTCAAAATTCAAGATAGTTTATCTCTAAAACTCAAAATTCAGGATACTTTCTCTCTCTAAAAAATGAGATATTTCTCTCTCTAAATTTTATTTTGGCCGTTTCTCTTTCTAAAATTTATAATTAGTTTCTCAATGAAAGTTTAAGAATACTCTCTCTTTACAATTTTAAGAATACGGTATCTCTCTAAAACTTAGGATTTGATATAGTTTCTCCCTTTAAATTGTTTTGAGATAATTTCTATTTCTAAAACTTTTTAGATACTCTTTCTAAAATTTGATATAGTTACTCTCTCTAAAAATCAAAATATGAGATTGTTTCTCTCTCTAAAAAATTGAATATAGTTTCTCTCTCTAAAAAAATTAAGATAGTTTCACTCTAAAAATTTGCATGTTTCTCTCTCTAAAATATGATAGTTTCTTTCTAAAACTTAAAATTTGAAATAGTTTCTCTCTAAAATTTTGCTGTAGTTTAGCTCTCTAAAAAATTGGTACTTTTATCTCTCTAAAATTTTAATATATTTTTTCTCTAAAAGTTAAAATTTGATATATTTTCTTTCTCTAAAATTTTGAGATAGTTCATCTCTCTAAAATAATTTGGTACTTTCTCTTTCTAAAATTTTAACATACTTTTTCTCTCTAAAAGTTAAAATTTGATATAGTTTTTCTCTTTAAAATTTTTGAGATAGTTTCTCTTTTAAAAAAATTTAGGTACTTTCTCTCTAAAATTTTCATACCTACCAAATGCTCCATATCTTTCCGGTTGAGAGACCCAATAAGTGAAATCCATGGGTCTTGGAATAAAAAGAAAACAGGTTTGAGTGTGGAAAGGAAATCATGGAAATATAGGTTTTATTTTCATGATTTTGATTTTCATAATTTTAAGTATCATTGTCATTAAACAATCCAAACAGTGGATTTTGACAACATCCAAGATATTAGGAGTCCATGTACAAAAACAGGCCCTTAGCATACTTACTGGGTTTATATCATTATAAAAGAATGGTACTTAACAAGTTCCAATGATAGAGTGGATGGCGAAATCAAGGGTCTAATGTTCGCTGTGGTGTATTTTTGGGTCATCAATTTTCATAGATATGTCGTATCTATACTATTTTTTAAGTTTTAAATTTTATAATTAAAAATAAAAAATATAGTGCAGACATGTTAACCAAAAAGACACTTTAGCATATCATATTTATATTTTAGGTATTAAAATAATTAAAAGAAAATATCTCTAGACAATCACTTTTAAAGTTTAATTTCTCAACAAACTTAGAGTTTCAAAACATATGTCATGCATAAAGATCTTATTTATTATATCTTCTAACTCTCTGGATTAACTTTGCTGCTTTTCGCATCTTTTTAGCACAAATAAAAGATGAAAAAAAAAATTCATTTTCTTTTTTAAACCCCAACTCTCTCTCGTGATTCTCCCAAACCCCTCTCTCTCCCCGGTGTTTACCCAAAACCTCCATCTGCCCCGTGTTTCCCCCAACCCTACCACAAGTTAGAGAGAGATTTTACTGCATCATTAAGAGACTAACTTGGCCATGGCAACAACCATTAAAGAGTAGAGCACTCTAACGAGAACAACCGAACCAGAGACCCCAATTGCTATATCAGCAGGTTCCTTCACCTCCTCTGCGGCTCTACCATTGTAGAGACTGCATCATAACTTATGTAGCTAAAGTAAATAATCGCGGCTACATTTTAGACGCCTGTTGGACCATAAGGGAAGAAACCCCTTTCTTTTGAAGGAATTTGGGGGTGCGTAAAATTCTTGGAGTCGCCTTTGCGAAACCCCATAATTATGAAAACACCATAAACAATATATGCAAGCATGTCATCGCCATGTCCAGAATCGGGTTCTCTTTAGTATTGTAGAATATATGCAAGCATGTCATCGCCATGTCCAGAATCGGGTTCTCTTTAGTATTGTAGAGAGAGTGTGTTTTAGAGGAAGTCTAGAATCACCATTTATGAAAAATTTCACTAGTTTTAACTCCAATTAAAGAGATGGAAATGGGCTAAGATGAACTAGAGAGATGCTATCGTCAGAGATACCCAGAATTAGTAAAAATTTTGATGGATTAGAGAGATGTTAATGGATTAGAGAGTAAGGAATTAGAGGCAGAATTCTCACGAGCTTAAGCCTAAATACGAGATATTGGTTGGAGATAAATGTTAAGAGGTTAGAGTGAGAAAAAGAATGCCTAAGATTGTAAGGAAGTACCACTGTTTTAGACTGAGAAAGAAGACTCATAATTAGTTTCATGGTTGGTTTAAATATTAATTTGAAAGACGGTAATGAGTTTAAACCTGTAACAAATACAAGGTGATGGCCACCGCCACAAAATCAAGAGTTGTAATTTGGGGCAAACTTACATTTTTATTCTCCATTTTTTCAATAGCCACATTACTAAATGCCGAATAAGAGCAACGGCCGCATTAAAGAACAATATTTCATTACTAAATTGGCACCAGTCATATAAGTAGCGAATTCCCCTGTTTGAGAGAGAGAAGTTTGGGGAAACATGGGGAGAGAAAGGCTTCAGGGAAACACGTGGGGAGAGAGGGATGTTTGGGGAAACGCGATAGACTATAGAGGGAGATGAGGGTGTCTAGAAAAGGAGGTTTTTTTTCCTGTATTGTTTGAGCTAAAAATAAATAGGGTTAAAAGAGATATAGTTAGTCTTAGGAGTTAAAAGATATAATACATAAGATATTTATGCAGTCATAAATGTTTTGAAATCGTGAAGAAATGGAACTTAAAAAGAGGGTATACAGATATTTTCCCGATAATTAAAAATAAAATTTAAAATTTTTTCGGTTTTTCAAAAAAATATAAAAAATTTGGTTTTTGAAAAACCAAAAATTTTAATGATTTCAATTTTTGAAAAGCCAAAAATGGGTGCTTCGGTCTTTTTTTTTTGGGAAAAAATGTTATGAAGTTTCAAAATAGATATATCTTAAAAAACGGAAAAAAATTCCCAATTATCTTTGCATACAAACACAAGGCTAGTGAAACATCAGTTGACTTGATGTAACATATGATCTTTGTATGCAAATTAAACGATACTAATTTTCAAGGCAAGAGAAAAGAAAAAATTCATAAATCAAAGCAAACATGATTACACGAAAATTAATATTCAATTCGACATTGTTAGTTCTGTTTAAAAATAATCACTATTCCTAATCGATCAAACTATTATCACTTTTATCCTTAGGTTTGCTCTTCAACCCGTAATCTAAAAAGATTTGTTGAAGCCAATTTTTATAATCAAAATTTAATAAAAGAGAGAAATAAGAGATGAGAGGGTATGGTGATATCTTTAAGGATTTTTTTATGCCGTTTGAAACAAAAACGAAAGGAAGCTCTAACATGAAATAATACGAGAAATTAAGGTTCTATACGAAAATTTCCCTTTTTTTTTTCATAGTTTCTTCCTCTCGTAATCCCCTTTTGAAAACTCGACCATTTTCATCCCGCACACGTACTCTCATTAAAAACGCAACACATTCTTCCCTTATCTCACTCTCACATTCACATTCACATTCTCTTTCTAAAAGGCCAATCCATTATTTTCTCCCCTCATTCTCTCTCTAAAAACACAATCCATTTTCATCTTTTCTCAAATTTCATGCTTTGAAAATACCTTCAATTTTGACACGAATGAATAATAGGTTGGGTTTTCAGAAAGAGAACTTGAGGGAGGGAAAAGGTTAAAAATTTGGGTCTTCAATGAGAGAGAATAAAGAAGAAACCATAGGAGAAAGTGGAAGTTGAGAGAAAAAGAAGTCCTAATATTTTGTTTGAAAAGAGGGGTAAAATTGTTAATTTGTCAATTTTACAATATTTAGAAGTCTAAGGTAGTTTTATGACTGCCCCAGGTCTAACATGGAATTGCCCCATACTTAAGGCGGTTTATTGTTCCTTATGTGAATACAAAAATAAAAATAAAAGAGAAATTAGATATTACTCAAGGTGGTTCATCGTTCCTTATGTGAATAAAAAAAAAAAGGAGAAATAAGATATTACTCATTTCTTACGAAGCTGAACCCCCTCATAGAGATCTTGGATGACTGGAATATGCTTGTGATCATAATATCACTATCGAAGTGCAAAAATAATAATAACATTAAATATTATTTTTTTAGAAAACATACATAAAGATCAATATTATTATGAGTAATGATCCTATGAGACACTTCCACACCTATGTATGTAAGACCTCAAATGATCACCATTAAATTTGGCACATATCTTTATAAAAGTTATCACATGCGTGTACGATTTGATTTTTTTAGAGATTTGTACCAACCTTAATGGTGATCATTTGAGTCCTACGCACATGAGTTTTTATTGAGAAATCAATAGAGATATGCGCCAAATTTATTAAGTATTATCTTTTTGGGTTTTTCCTGAGAAATCAATTACACTTTTGGAATTTAAAAGTAGTATTATGGATTTCACATTTTTACACAAAGTATGGCATTAATTTTTTTATTTTTTTATATATACTGGATTGCACTTTTTAATTATTTTATATCTATGCTTCTCGCCATCACATAAAGCGTTTCCTTTATCCTTTGTAATACTTAAGGCTCGTTTCTCCACTGGAATCTTTTGTGAAGGAAAAATGTCACGGTTGATAAAACACAATAACAAAAATGATCAGAATGTTATCAAATCCTTTAAAGTGGTGCTATGTCCAAAATTAAAAAACAAAGTAAAAGCCATTGTTATTTGCAAAAGATGGATTTCAAAACTTACTTTTCCATCATACATGATGTCTGTGTATTGCGTAAATCTTTTTTCGTGTCAAAAGTTGACAAAAATATTTGTCGGTGCGTATGCAAATTTTTGTGCATAGCCACACGTTTGGTTCACGTAAAAGTATCTTGTATAAGAAAAAATTGTCTCATGCGGTCATATTCATTCGTATCAATTGGTCATTGTATATTTTCACACCAATTAACAACTAATTGATATAAAAATGTTCTTACACTTAGACCACACGACCACATCAAAGAATTTTTTCATGTGAAAATAATTTTTAAAAAATATATTCACACGAACCAAACATGTCGCATTCTGTGTTAGATTCCATCATATGATTGGTCATAACAAGTATAGCATATATTCAACACTCCTTATGTTCTAAAAAAAATTTGGACATACTCTTGCGTTGTTTTTAGTAAGGGCGCACTGAAACAATAGTTTCTTTGTGGGAGCCAAGACAATAAAGGTTATCCATGTAAAACAAGTCACACATATTGTCATAAAAAAAAAAAAACGAGAAAAAGTTCTACATATTTATCGCCAATGTAAAATTATTGAAGCACCTTTTCTTTTGTTTTGCTTTTATTTTATATGCAATGGATACCCCAACTCTTAGATCCGCCAGGTATACCTTGGATAGCTAGATCGGTAAAACAACAATAGAAATAGAAATGATAAATATTTTAATCTCGCAGCATACATTACACAAAAAGCCGATCTCAAATAGTTGGGATAAAACTATATATATATTATACAAAATTGCACACTAAAGCATACTCAATTCAAGAAACCAACTCTTTGTTGAAGTTTCAACTCAGTATAACTGCGATGGGCTTTTTGTAGCACCTTTCAGTGCAAGGAGAGCAGCTCCATATGCAGCCTCGGTTTGTGGGGCCCGACTCACCGTCACCCCCAACACTCTTTCTCTTATCTTCATCCACTTCTCATTCCGGGCTCCACCTCCCGCACTATATACCTCTTCCACCTCTGTGGCCCCCAGCTCTTTGAGCAAGCCGTACCCCCTTGCCTAATATTTAAAAAGGCATGTAAAGTTAGGGACTGGATGCTACAAATCATTGTAGTAAGCTTCCATGAAATCAATGGTGATTAATTGTTCCCACCAAAAAAATCAGGGCACCTGTAAAAGCGGGTATCATCATCCACTATCCTTCGACAAATATGGATAGTAACCTGAATAGTGGATGTTTAGTCCAAGTACCCGATTCCATATTCCTACTACTACTAGGTATGACATATTTTTCCTTAAAGTTTAGGAAAAATTATAGATACCCACCTTACATTAGATGGTCAGTGTTGAGCCTAAAACTCTTTGTTTTAGTTATGGACGCGTTAACCAGGCACCTACAAGATGAGGTACTGTGGCGTATTTTGTTTGCAGATGACAATTTTGATCGATGAGACTAGAGGCGCGTTAGCATAAAGTTAGAATGTTAAAGGGATGCTTTAGAATCTAAAAGTTTTAAAATTAGTCGGACTAAGATAAAATATATAGAATACAAGTTTAGTAAATAATAGGAGCAGAAACAAGGAAGTAGTTAAGATTGATGATAAAAAAATATCTAAATAAGATTATTTTAGATATATGGGGTAGATAATCCAAGAAAATAGAGAGATTGAAGAAGATGTTGCACATAGAATAAGAGTTGTATGAGCAAAGTGGAGAGGTGCATCCGGAGTTTTATGTGATTGCTATGTACCATTGAGACAGAAGCGGGGAAGTTCTATAGGACGACTATAAGAACTACCATGCTTTACAGGATGGAATGTTGGCGGTCAAGAACATATCTATAGGATAAGCATAGTTGCGACGAGGATGTTGAGATGGATGAGTGTAAGACAAGAAATGATAGAATTCAGAATGAATATATTTGAGGGAACTTAGGTGTGACTTTAATAGGTGATAAGATGAGCAAAAGTAAACTTAAGTGGGCTGGCTATGTGCAGTGTAGACCCAATACAGTACCAGTTAGAACGTGCGATTGGTTCAAGTGGAAGGCTTTAAAAAAATAAAAGGATAGCCAAAAAGGACAAGGATTGAAGTAGTGAGAAAAGATATGACTTTTGGTCCTACTAAGGGTATGACCCTTGATAGAGAATAATGATGAAACAAGATTCATGTAGTTGATCCCAAATAATTGAGACAAAACTTGGATGATGATGATGATAAATACCCACCTTGGCCCTACTTTCTAGGCATTCGCAATCCCCCCCCCCCCCCCCCCCCCACCCTTAGTCGCCCAAAAAAAAAAAAAAAGACTTTGTAAATTACATCATTAACCCCAAAACTATTTATCTTCCAACGCTCCCAAGTCAAAAGTATGGTCTTTTAGGATGAAAGTACCCCTAATACAACACACATTTCTCTCAAGACAAAAATCAAACCGGTCCAACACAATGTGTGCCTGACAGGCTTTGTTTTAAAAAAATGAAGCCAATCTAGCACAGGTATAATGTGTGTTGGACCGGACATTGTCTAAAATGAAGTTGGTAAACAAAACGTGCGTCATACCAGGATATTGTTTAAAACAATGGCAGTCCGGCACAATTTAAAATGATAAGCAGGTGAGAGAAACATGTGTTTTAATGTGCATTGCAAAAATAAATAATTTTGAGATTAATGGTGTGATTTACAAAGTATTGGAGGAGCCATCCCTAGAAAGTAGGGTTAGGGGGAGTATCTACAATTTTCCCTAAAATTAAATTATGTAAGTCATTAAAATGGACATATGTGAAAGAAAATTTAAAAACATACATACTACGTGAAAATTGAGTACTAACCTCAATCCGAGCAATGGATTCCAGAATGCCATGTAAAAACTCTACATCATTATCTGGACGAGGCTGCAACCTGAACAAGAATGACACAAGTAAATTTCAAATTATGATTCCTTGACCTCCAAATTCGCATTTTATCTGCCCTCACACACATCCAAGAGACATCACAACATGCCTGCTAGTTGGCATGTGTATTTATCAAAAAAGTACATCCCTGCATATTCAAATGTTGACAAGTCACATTAATCAGTTATGACGAATGCTCATATGAATGCCAGTTTGCTTCAACAAAACCCAAACTAAATCTCACACAAATGAGGTTTATGCTCTGATGCAAATTAGATGTGTATTTTTCTGATTGAATAATAAGAAAAGGACATGGATCTGGCAAGAAATGTTGAGTTACTATAGCGATATTCCATGTACTAGGCATTGAAATGCAATATCCCTTTTTTATTAGTAAAGGTGAAGGAGTGAAAAATATACATATGAGAGAATATTATCACATTTTCTTAAATGTTTAAATGATCTCTAGAAGTTTGTTGTAACATAATTGCAATAAATCCAATTGGATTCATGGAAAGGGATGCATCACTAATGAGGTAGAAATGCCATGCTTTTTCTTGCATAATCATCCCTTCACGTAAGGGAACATTCTCTCATGATATTTACTCATCACATGGGTAACTAGTAAGAGCATGTTAAAGTCATTGACCATTCTCTTGACGTAAAACTCCATGTGGAAATGTAAAATTCAGCCACACCTTAATGGAGGTTTATTATTTTTTATTTTTTTTGAGCGAGAAAGGGTCCTCTATCTGTGGTAGGAATGACATTCAAGATGTCACAGTGTGGCGTCCCATCAACCTAACCACCTAGCCTTGAGCCTATTCCTACCTTTATGGAGGATGATTACCTCAAAACAAATACAGGGATCTAAGGTTTTTGATAACAATTTTAAAAATTAATAGACAAAAGATCTATGGTTCTTGAATGGTAAGTGCATCATCTAAACTACATGTACTAAGTTTCTTGTGATGTCCATTTGTCAGTCATAATCATGCAATTATAGCCTTTCATTTCAGTTTAATTGAACATAATCATTTAAAAATAAAAGAGACATATTCTAGCCTCTTACATAATGCCAATGGATATAGTGCTATATGCGAACACCAGTCAAAGAGGCACACTGAGATTTGAGCCAGAAATCTCTCCTAAATCCTAATAAATTAGGTTTACATACACACAGGATTATGACAATTTTATATTTTTTTCTTTTAAGAAATAAGAAATATGACACTTTCTTATTCCTTTATTTTTTATTACAAAATTTTTATTATTTGAAAACTTAGACAGTTTAAAATAAGGGAAATGAACATGCAGATCGTCAAAGATGCCTAATAAACATGGTTTTCACACATACATAGAACTAAGATAAGTTTTTTTTAAAATTTCTTGAATTAAATAAAGGAAATGTGACATTTTCTTAAATTTTTTATATTTTGAATTATGAGGATTTATTGTCAAAAAAATGGCCAGTCAAAAGGGATATAAAATATAATGTAATATATTTTTACACAGTCGGGTCCTAATAAATAGGGTTTACTTAATTTTCAAAATTATATTGAATCCCTTAATTTTCTATTTCTCAATAAATTAGAGAATAATTATATGAAGGCTTCTCTTTCATATCTTCATTAAGATTTTTTATTACTTAAAAATAATTTGTATCAGTTTAAAATATAACATTAAAAAATTTATTTATAATCTTAGTGGCTGCGCTGTTGCATCACACAAGCAGTGGACTTGTCCTAATCATGCAGTAGATCATTAAGAAGTATAATGTGTCGTATTATGAAAAAGATTTTATCATCGGCACAGCCCTACTGGTCACTCCTCCTAGGTATCATATGAGATCATGTTACTTGAACGTCTCCCCTCCAATTTAACTTCAATTTCTGCCTTCTTGGAATCTATTTTGGCTTCTGAGTCCCATGCTATTCATACCCAATTTTCCTACAAGAAACGTATCCTCATAAAATCCTGTAAAGTTCTTCCCAGTCTACCACCCCATGCCTCTACTCGCTAGCAGTTTTATATGCACCAGGTTCCTTCTTTGCAAATGGGTGGGTGCATTTGCTTGCGAGAAATAGCATGATATTTTGACCTCTAAATATGTATGGTACACCTTGCAATCCATCAAGAAGAATATTCCAAATTCTAGGCTCAATGCCTAAAATTCAGTCAGTCCAAAGGTAATCAAATCCGGTAAGAAGTTCCATGATCTTAATCATACTAAATGTGAACAACATTTGCATGCACATAGAGAATGACAGTTATGATTATGAATAATATTATTCAGTTTCTTTGCAAATTTATGAGATTAGGATGTTCCAAACCTGGGCATCATGTTTGGATCTGCAACAGGAAATCTCTCACCAACAGCAGGTAGAGGATAATAGTCTAAAGAAGAAGGTTCCTCTGGATTTATTTGTTCACTCAATTCATCTAATTGGCTATCTGTGAAAATCTGTCTAAGAACAGCTCCTCCGGTATTAGAGGCCCCACCAACAAGCCATTTATCATCTAGGCGGTGACTATATACACCAAAACGGGAGTCTTCAATCCGACTAGTGCTGAGAAGTTTAATAGCAAGTGTTGAACCCAAGGATGTAACCTGAATTAACAAACCTTAGTATAAGAAAATAAGTCTTTGATTGGAAAGCATAGTGTTAAAACAAGTGGATTCGGCCACGGCGCATTGCCTACCTAGTTGGGTGCCTCTTGACCATAGTTTGTTGGTAACTCTTTCTGAAAGCATACTACAATCCAAAGGACTACAAAAAACCATGGTTTATAGTTGCTCATTACCTTCCAATAGAGTGATGAACAGTGATGAGAGAGAATGGAACCCACTAGTGCGGTCTTGTACTATTCTGCTGGATCCCACTCACTCTCCATCACCATGCATCATTTCATTGGATAGTGATGACCTCATAAGCATACCATTTTCCATTGGATTATAATTTAGCTATTCATCATAATATTATAAAAAAATTTTAATCACTGTAACTCTAAAGTATAAATGGAGAACAAGAATCTGGTGAAAATTTTACAGCTTTTCCAGGTTGAGAGGCACCGGCTGCAAGAAAAGCAGCAATGCTGTCTGTAGTTCCAGTGCAAATAATACAATCCTTTGGAAAATCTGCAGTTCCAAAAGATAATCACAAACTGCGAGGACACTTTTAAAGTCAGTTTCCTTCAGATTCATGTTTTAGGTCATTTTCCTTGAGATGCATGTATCTATGCCCCACCATTATTCATCTAACGAGTATTATTCTGTCTCATCCAATTTAGGTTCTGATAATATCAAGAGTGGTAACTGAAAAGAACAGGCATACACAAAACATATTTCATGGTTATATATTTTCGAGTAGTTGAGTTCAGAAAATGAATGTCATGAAAGTTCAAAGAGGGTCAACTGCCAGATACCCCAAGCCAAAGGATGAGTTCCCAAGCCGAGGAATGAGTTCTTTTTATTGCTAACATGCCAAACCTTAGGCAGAACATCAAATTTCACTTCAAAGGAGATTTCTATAATGAAGTTTCCAGAGCTGACTCCAGTTTCCATATTTGGGACCCAAATATTTTAAGCAGGATAAAAACCAGAACTTCTCCTTGGTATAATGAAATATATATACCTCAACAAGCCCTAGTTAATACCCTTGCCAACAAAATGAAAAGGGTTCTCATATTTTCCTTTTGCCTTGTTATTTGCTTTTCATAGAAACATAAAAGAGAAACAACTAAAACATCTTGTTGAATGGACTGATACAGACAAATTTAGACTAACAATTTCAAAATATCAGCCTTCCAAATATAGTGAGAGATAGTGAGAAATTATCAGGGTACTCAGGCCGCTTGCATGAATTGGACTCATAAGAGGCTGAAGCATGGTCCTCTTATATGGACTGCAAGCTATGGGCCAAAAATGGCCAAATGTAGTCATAGACGGGGAGTCCAGTATGTCATTAGCTGGGTAAATAGTCACACGGTATGCCTGTCATGTCTAAACGCTGTGTTTCAGAAATTAAGACTCTTTAAGAAAATCTGTGTATCACTAACCCATGAGAATCCGATATGGAGGCAGATGCGCTGGCTCACGAAGGTGTAGTTGAGTCAGAGCTTTTTTTAATACTAGAATTGTGAATAGAGTCTACTGTATATGGGCTTGACTTAAAGCGGAAGAAATATAAATATCAGTAAATCGACTTTGAACTTAACAAAAAAAGTTAACTTTTAAAGAAAAAAACAAATCAGCCATCCAAGGAGGGACCCCCATACATGGTTGGACATACCAAAATGTAGCCTAATATCCTCTTTAATGAAACCAACAGAAGTTCCAGGTGCTTTCACAGTAGGCAACAACTGTGCATATGGTTGCTTAAGTAACCAAGAAGGATAGGATTCAGCCTCTGGATCATATCCCACCTGTGAAAAGTAGAAACAATATCAAGATATTAATCTTGGGGTTGAGTCTCTAATTGCTTACTCTCAATGCTGCATTGCATGGCAGATTTATTGGAAGCAGATATAATCCATCCATTTCACGATCATGCTCTTTTTAGTAGGGTCTCATTGCAATCGTTTCATTTTTGGTACGTTAACCAAATAAATTGCCTTCTACTTGATTTCCATTAATGTTTTTATTTATGGATTGTCTACAAAGAGACTATTTATCTTTTATACATGGAGGTCATAATCATTATTGTCCCTTAAATTTCAAAATGGGTGGTTGTAAGAGTATCATTGAATAGACACAACTTTCCAAAAAAAAAATTCTCTGACTTCGTGACTCACCCCAAGACATCCAATTTGATATCTACTGAGTGCAAATGATTGTAACCTCCATATACAAAAAGATAAATGGTCTCTTTATAGACAATTTACTTTATTGATCTAACAAACTCATGAACTTAAAATTCAAATGGTGGAAATAAATCAAGCACATCCCCATCCATGCCTTATTTCATCTTAATTTAAGTAACTTGCTGGCATGGTTCCATCTAATGTCAAACATTTTTAAAGCTAATTTAGATGAACAAGAAGAAAGATTACTGTTGAGAACACACCTTGAGAGCATTGTTGTAGTCAGAGACTCCAAGCTTTCCATGTAATAGATATAGCAGCCAATCTGCTTGATGCATCAATAATGCAGAGTTTTTGTGTGGGTCAGTTGAAATCCACCATGAAATAAGCTTGCTAAGGGTTGAGGATCCAGAAACAACTGTATGGTTTTCAGGAGCAATGGACTGGACAATCGGTAAAGCATCAGAGCAGTTAGTGTTATACAAGAAAGGTTGACATAAAGGCTCCCCAGTTGTGCTGCGATTAGAGATAGTTCCAAATGACCAATTAGATAAAGCCATCAAATAGGAAATACAAAACATATGGATCTCATGAGATACCTGTCAATTATCATGGTGGTAGCAGAAGTCCCATCGATAGAAATTGAAGATATATATGAACGAATACCAGAGGGCAGATCCGCCAATAGGTTGAACAATGTATTTCTCCAAGAATTTGCCCAATTAATTATTTCCCCATCCTATATAGGCATCCATATTATGTCAAGAATGAGTAAGATAATTGATTAGAAGAAGGTGCCAGTATATAGAGTGAAGTTCTTATGAGCTTGCTCATGCAGACATGACACTTCAAATTTGAGGGGCATGCCAAGTAATATTACTAGGGAAGACTGATATAATACCATTGATAAGGGAAAAATGATTGTCCAACCGAGTATCACCATTCATTGAAATACTGACATGGATGAAGAGACAATAGTACTAACCATTGGTACAGGTGTTCTACTGGGTTCCACTCTTTATCCATTATTGCCCACCATCTCCATGGATTTTGATGACCGAACGGACTAAGTCTGTCCCCGTTGGATGATATTATACAGAGCTGATACTCTAGTACTTATTAAAGGGTTATTCTAGGGTACACCACGGTAATGGTAAACTTAGAATTTCGTACACCAAAACTTTCGACTATAAGATGCCTTTATATGTTCAAACATGCTTTAAATAGTTCATATTTTTAGGAAGGGCATTTCTTAATTTCAAAATCCCTTCAAAAATCAATTTCAAATTCAAAAGGATTCCCTTGACTTTACATTAAAAAAAAATGATTTCCTTGACTTTTTGAATAATGTCTAAATTTTAACAGCAACTTAAAAAAAAAAAATTGGCCTTCTTTAAATTTTCAAACAAGTTATTCCTAGGGTAATTTTAAGATTTGTAAGGGCATTTTATTGTCAAAAGACTTTGAGTTAAAAATTCTAAGTTCATCATTAGACTAGTATAGCATGGAATAATCTTTATTAAAAAAATTGTGGCCAATATCTTATTTAACTTGTTCCCAGCCATGTGGCTTGAATTGTTGGACCCAAAAACTGCTACTGAAAAATTCAGCTTCATAGAAAGATCTGTTTGAGACAAAGACATGAAGGATCGAAAAATCCAAACGGTATAACCGTATAAATTTTCCTAATACCTAAGTCCTTTAGCACAGAAGTACACAATGGTATTTAGTAAACGACATACCAAATACAGGCACACATTTTGTACAATAAATATTTGTATTACCACAACTTACATCTGAGGCACAAATCTTACGGTGGTTTGTGGATAATCTCTTTTTCCTTCGGCATAAATCACGCCATGCTTGTCAATAATTACAAATCTAGCTCCTGATGTACCAAAGTCCAATCCAAGATAGAGTTGTTTAGATTGAAGATCAAAATCGCCACCATTTTCACTAGTAGGAGTCATTGCGGCATTGTTCTTGCTGCATAAACCTTTCCATAAACAGGTTTCAGAGGAAATTTTCCTCGAAAAAGAAAAATCTGCAGAGCAATACAAAGCATATTTGAACTTAATCAATAGAACTATAGTAAGGAATTCGAGATAATAGGCAATTGGCCAAAATCATGCCAATAAATGTTTCTTGGAAACAACTCACAAAATGAAATAGAATTTGACCCTTCAAAATAGAAAAACTAAGACACTGAAATGCGTCAGGGTATCATTAGAAGGTTGTTTCCAATTTAACAATGCACACGAACGATATTTCTTAGAACAGGAATATCTACCAATCAAAATGGAAATCAATACATGAATAAAGTCAAGACACTGACATAACTTTTTTTCTACTGTAAATGCATAGAGGATGTAATATATCTCTTACTGTTTTTTTTTTTTTGCATTTATTCCTCAATCTCGTAATTGACAGAAATTTATGCATCCCTTTCACAATGACAAATTATCTTTTGTAAGTGAAATTAGCCATTGACATGAAGCTAGTGTCCAGTAAAATGGAGAAACTCATTTCTTTCAAGATATGGACCACTTGGACCGAAGTGTGCTGCAAGTCTGGAGTTCAGTTCAAAATATTTAATGGGATTAGGAATTAGTTTACTTAAATTTAAAAGGGCAATATGTGAACTAGCTCATATGAATCAACTTTTTCTTAGGTAAATATTTTCAAATTCAATTGTACTATGGTCGCTTAAAACTTAAAATTACAGGTTATGGAATAATATATCTTCCTCATATTGGTTAGAAACGAGAAACTAAATGTAGCATCACATTTGCAAGTAGGGCATTAAGTTCCACTAAATGTCTCACTTTGGACTTGGAGTTGCATAGCATGACATTTTCATGTAACAATGTATTGTCCTACTGGAGTGTCTAATCTCTAATGTTACAAACTAACTTTTGTCAGAATTCAAGCACAATCCCAATGATTTGCAACGTATTGCATTGAAAGGCAGTCAACTGAACCGTACATATATACATGCATATATGGATTGAACAACTAATTTCAGTAACTTGGCATTCAAGATTCAACTATACATGGAAAATCAAAGATCATGTTTTATTATCCATGATGAGAATGCCTACTTCTCCAGTATGGAACAAGTTCATTGGGCTCCTATCGTGTGGCTTCGCTTAACCATTTAAAAGGAAGGAATGAGAGCAAGCATACGTTAAACTCAAGACCAAAGCATTGAAACTTCTCTCGGCATGGGGATTAATCAAGACTGTCCCATGGGACTTGAGAATAGTGAGAACAAAACCCATACTTCATCAATGTTTTCTTTTTTCATTTTTTAAATTATAGTAAGTGAATTGTAGTGATGAGGAAGCGAGTGCATATAAATCATGTTGCACAAGTAATAAACTTAAGTGTAATTCAAAACTTCTGGTTGACTTTTGCCATCTGCAACCCCACAAAACCATCCCCAAAGAAACTTTTATCAGTCTTTTTGCCACTTGTTGTACATGTGCAGTGACTAACATCCAGTCTCACCAAGCACACTAATTTTGGCACTCCATTAATTGACAGCCCTATTTTGTGTGAAATTGCTCATATTAAAAGGCAAATTCAAAACAAAAGCATGCCCCATCAAGTCTAATGTCCACTAGACAAGTATACATGCTGTACACTCTTCTTACAAAAACTTTTGGGTGGACCATTTTTCTACTGCGCGTTTGAATCCCTGATATTACAATTGCTATTAACCTTTCTTAACTGAATCTTTCAACCCATATTTTTTAAATTGAAGTAGATTTTTCCACATAAACTGGGGCAGTTTAAGAGTTATTGAATTCATCAATTTCAAGAGAGAGTGAATAATGAATGATTGGTTACCTTTCCTATTTGGAAGTGAAAGAGAAGAAAAGCAGAGGCCAAGCGAGGTGCAATGCAGCAGGTAAGAAGACATGCTTTCAGCTTCTCACTTTTTCATTATTTTGGTAGATGCTCAGCTAAGATGCCTGTCTTGGGGAATGAAACTTTAAAGCCTCTGATCAGCGATCCCCGCTTCTTCTACGGCCTGAAGTCCCTCACTGGATAAGGAAAAACAAAAGAAAATCCATTTCGTGATCCCTTGCGATCACCTTGTACACTTGCTCAGAGGCATAAAGAAGGAAAAAGGAGGAAGTTAGATGGATTTGTTTTAACAAAGGGATCAATTTTCCTTTGTCTCGATAAATATGTAAAGGAAAAGGTTTATACAAAAGTGAGGTCCTAAACAATTAAACTAAAGTGCATCTCACAAATTCACTATAAGAGATTATTTTGATCTTCGAAAATCCTTAAAGTGATTGTCGCGAATTCAAGATATATGAAAATGAAAAAAACATAGATTTTCGAGTATTGAAAATAATGCATCTTGTAAAGAATTTTCTAGACCTTCAATTTTTAAGATTTTCAAATATTCATATATTTCCTCGTATTTGAACCATTTTTGGAGCTTTAAGTTTTAGGATTAGATATGCAAATAAATTTTTAGGCCATCCCATAATTTTTGGTTCTAAAACAACATCTTTAACACTATTTGAAAGTATACCTTACTTTTAATTGTTTAGGGCGTCAGCCCTATACAAACCACACCTACATGAAAAAATTGACCATATTATTAATTTTTGGTATTCGGTATTTACCAGCTCATTGACATTTTGACGTGGTTTACGTTGTTATCAATGGGTGAGGTTTGTATAAAGCCGAGGCTCTAAACAATCAAATTAGATCTCATCCTCAAATGGTATTGAGAAATATAATTTTGATATTAGAAAGTTTTATGATAGCATTCAATTATATTTTGTTATAAAATTTAAAGATTCAAAAATACTGTAGATCAGGCAGATCTATGAAAACTTGAAAATTGATTGTTTAAAAATGCGTTACAAGATGCACTATTTCTAAAACTTAATATCTATTTTTTTCTTCATATCTATACATCTTGACGTCGAGATGACCAATTTGATGATATTAGATCATCAAAACAACCTCTTCTAATGAAAATTTTGAGATAGGCTCTAATTTGATTGTTTAGAGCCTAGGCTCTATATAAACATTTCCCTTTAACCATTGGACAAGGTTTCGGCGAGTCCTTCACTCTAGATGCGTCCTCCAAAATCCATGCGGATCTTGGCCTCCTCCAAAATCCATGTTAGAGATGGATTTTGGACAAAAACTGCAGAGATTGTGAATTAACACCAAGGAAAACAATGATATTAAAACAGAAGAGCAGGTATATGTGATGCTATCTTTTACTCTCTCGATCTAATGATCTATTCTAGAGGATTTTTTCAATCTCAAACTTTAGTAATTATTTTAGAATCACTATATGATTATTTTCCTCAAAAAATATTAAAATTTGACTTTTCTAACACTTGATCTCACCTTTCAAAATTGGATGGCTTCTATTTAATGTTTATTGAGGTTAACCAATGAGTCAAAATTTGGAGTCTTAAAACTAATTCTAGGTAGGGTTTTACCCAATGAAGTAAATAGACAGTATACTCCCAAGGAAGTAAAATATATTTTGGCAAAAGAAAATAACTTTTAAGAATGAAAAATATTTCTTTGATTGGGTTTTAAGGATCTTATACAATGAGACTATTTACCACTGGTCCAATGAGATCACAATTACTAATGACTATTCTAACTCCAAAAGTGGGTGACGCATCTTTTAGGACCAAAGTTTACGCAAATTATTGCTTAATAGAAAGAATGCAATAATTTCAATTTTGAATCAAGTAATTTTTTAAAGTCTTAATTTCTTTATTAAAATTGGCACAAACACCTTTGTTTTCCAGTTTTTTTCAAGAATTCCTCCTCATTTTTCAAAGTCTGAATATGGTGTTCCTCTGATTCTCCCCCAAAACCTCTCTTTTCTCCTCTTTCTCTTGGCCATCTCTCTGGCAGCCATTTTCTAGATAGAGATTTTCTAGCCCTTTTTGAGAAAGAGATTTTTTAGAAAAAGAGAAACTCATTATAGAGAGAGGGTTTAGAAAAGAATAGACATATTCATTCTTACTTTTATTTGATCTAAAAAACGAGTGGTCAAAAAAAATAAAATTGATCGGAAGGTTAGAAGATCTCTATACGGCAAGAAAGGTTTTCAAAACTAGATCAGTTGGAAAATGGAACCTTAAATTAGGGTGTTTAGATATATATATTTTTTTAAAAAAAAAATTTATATATAACCCTAATTTCTCATATTATTTCATAATAGACCTTTTTTTTGTTTTTTTTTCAAGCACCTTAAAGATTTAAGAGTATCCCCTCATCTCTTATCTCCCTCCTTTTCTCTTTTTATCTTTTTTTGACTTTTTTACTATAAAAATTAACCTTAACAAATCTTTTTATATTATTTCATCCCAAAAACTTTTTTAAACCTCTTTTTTCCTTTCCACCTTAAAATATACGAAGATTTCATAATACCCCTTCATTTTTTATCGCTTTCTTTTCTCTTCTATCTTTTATTGACTTTTTTACTATAAAAATTAACCCTAACAAATCTTTTTATACCATTTCATTCTAAAAACATTTTTAACTCTCTTTTTCCCTTTCTAACATGAAATAATAAGAAGGATTAGAGTTTTATACGAAATTTTCCTTTTTGAAACACCTAACATTGCTTAAGAAAAAGAGAAGTCTTATCATGTGTGAGGAAGGCAAAATCTTGCATGATACTTAAAAATTTCCAAACAAGGGTGATGGTGGCACTTCAGCCTCCGTAATTTAAGATTAGATCAAAGCTTTTCTCCACTTTATACCTAAGATCACATACGATAACAGTCTAAATTGAACAAATAATACAATAAAATTGAGGGGATATAACCCTAGATCCCTTAGCTAATCACAGCATATGGCCAAGAGTTGCAATTGCAGGCTACAGATTTGGTTGAGCTCTTCCCCAAGTTCGGCTCTGAATTTCCCACCAGGATGAACAGTGTTACCTTCTGATCCATGACACGAGAATTTCTAACCCAGCAGAAAAGCCATGAGAGACCCTAACAAGCAGAAAGAGAGCAAAACCCGGAGAAAAACCCAAATCAGAAAACCCCAGGTGTTCCTCTTGCCTTGCTGAAATCCCATTCAGGCCGATCACTGCAAATCTGATCATCACAAAACAATGGCCTCACAGCTACACAATCCAATAATAAACCTCCCTTCCAAAAGGAACAGTCCAATTCCTCAACCCCAAACTCTAACCTCACCATTTTATCACTACTCTTCACCATGAATTCACCCACCTTGAACTCAAACCACCTCTCATAGCAAGAGGGGCTTAGCTCAGCCATGGCAAGCTTTTCTCTGAGGATGAGTTCATTTTCTTCTCTGCCTTCTCTGAGGCAAAGCCAAAAGTTGATGGGTTTGTGCCATGAAAGGAAGCGAAGGCGCCCCCCATGAGGGTTCAACACTTTGATTCTCCATAATAAACTGTAGGAGCCATGAGGCAGCCATAGAGTCCAGTTTCCTCTGACCTCGAACCAGCACACTGCTAATAGCCTTGATACCTGATCAGAAACCAATTTAGAACAATAAAGTCTAAAACGAGAAAGGGAGGTTTATTAGAACAATACAACATACATAAAGCAAAATAAATCAGGATAGAAGTAGTAGAATAAAAAGAAACAAAAAATACAGGACATTTATAATAGTGGAGATTAAAAGGAAATAAGAGGTTTCGAACAATGTGAAATTGAGGGGGGAAAGTAAGAGTTTAAGAACCCTGAAAAAGGTAAGCATTTGATGGTAGGTAAACTGGGTTGACAACCTGAAAGAAAAAGTGAATGTGGGTTGATGGACGAAGAAGGAAGAGAAAATAAATCAGAGGCTTAAAGTCACAAAGAGAGAGTGAAAAATTATTGGGGGAAGAGGCAGGGAACATAGGAAAAGCGGCAATCAATTTTATAGATTTCGAACCCTCGAGAAAATAAGGAATATCCAGAAATTACAGAGAAACAAAGAAAATTCAGAGTTTCATAACCCCAACAAGGCTGAGATTAATGGCATGGAAAAGACAGAAACCAGTGAAAACCAAGAAAAACAGAACCTCAGAACCCCAAATGGCCAATGGATAATTGGCCAAAACAACAGAAAGGCAGAAACCAGAGGGAAGAGGAGAACCCAATTGAAGACCAAACATGCTAAAACTCTAGATAATTGGCCAAAACAACAGAAAGGCAGAAACCAGAGGGAAGAGGAGAACCCAATTGAAGACCAACCATGCTAAAACTCTAGAGGGAAGAGGAGAACCCAATTGAAGACCAACCATGCTAAAACTCTAAAGTAATCAAAACCCCATTAAAAGTTAAGGTTAAGGTATAATAGAGAAACCCACTGTACAAATAATAAGATTTGAGAAGAACTCAATATGCAAAAGCTCCAAACTATGGACTCATAAACACCATTAAAGTCAAGCTTCCAGCTCCAAAGCGTCAAATCAGAACTCAGAACACAATGAAAGTCAATATATTAGGAAAATTAGAGAAACACACCGTGCCAAACCATGAGCTGCGAGAGCTCTCCCTTCGCCAAAACCGTGAATCACCACCCCATGTTATATTCATAGCAGAGGAAGAAAGAGCAGCCATGAAGCCCCCTGTTCGACCGGAGAGCTTATACAACTGTTTACCTCCATCAACCAGTACCCCATGAGTGAGGCGATGAGCTATCTCTCTCTTCGTGGGGGCAAGGGGGAGACTGAGAGGAGGACTGGAGAGAGAAAGAGAGAGAAGACGACAGGAGAGAGGAAGTGAGAGGAAGGGAGAGGAGAGAGGAAAGAGAAGGATGGCCCAAGTGGCTTCACAGCGAGCGGCAGCAGCGAGGCGGCGGCAAGTAGCCGCGGCAGAGCCGATGGTGGAGGGCGGTGTTCGGCCCAGGATTTCGCACAGGCAATCTTGGGGGAGGTCTGAGAGTTCCATGGCATTTCAAACCCTACTCCGTTTAGGCAAAGAAACCATTGCCAAAAGAAGAGAAGGAAAAAACCTCACATGCTTTGCTTTCGATTAAGTTGGGAAAATGGTTATGCACTTTATTATTCTTGAGAAATATAATTCACCCACAATCTCCTTATCTTAGAGAATACTTCAAGGCACCATTTATTCTTTGAATAACCAGAAGATTTTTACCTTGCTGGAAAGTGAAACACCGTTATCTCATACCTGACTCGCCCTAAGTTTAGATACACAAATGGCGTGTCCACGTTTAGGGGTCACAATCGATCGGGTCGTGTGGGTCCAAATGACCAATATTCATTTTAAATTTGGGTTTAGAATGACCCGAATCAATATAAGAGTTATATATAATGAGATCATTTATCTTTGATACCAAACGGTCACAACTACTTACAACAGCCCATGTGAAGTTTAATAGTTTGGATGTATCACAAAGTTGAAAAAATTTCTTTTGAAGTTCGAACTTGATCAATAGAATAATTACAGTAATCCAATGATCAAGATTAATGTCTCACTTTGTGCCAAAAGTACTTAAAAATAAATTTTTTCTTTTCAAATTTCTAGACACGGATCCAACTTAAGTCCTAGTCAAGTCTATGCCAAAACTAGTGGGGCCAGTCCATAACTCCATATAAGAGGTCGACCTGCGCCCGGACCCGACCCATGGCCACCTCTGTCCAGATGATACACCGGGGGAATCTACCGTCCTCTTCCAGCAGTCCCTTAACGAGAATATTCAGGGCATATTCTATTGTGGACGAATTGTGTACATGTACGGTTCAGCAGTGGTGTAATATATATGGCAATAAATCCGGTTAAAAATATGGAGAGGGGGAGCATTGACTTGGAGGTAGGTAAATAGTTTTAAGGTTTGTATATTATAAGGTTATTTATTTGTTTTAAATAAGAAATCATAATTACTCGTAACCAATAAATGTCAAATTGGACGGTTTAGGGTGTATCAAAAAGTTCGAAAAATCATTTTTGAACTTTAAGTCTAGCCAATAACATGTACACAACCACCTCATTTGAAATCTAAAAGACACGAATGATTGTAACTTCCTCGGGCTAAGAGTAAATGATATCTTTATACACTTTCCAATATTTTGATGAGGACAAACGAGTCTTCCGCACCACTCACTCTTTAAGTTCGATGATCAACATTGACTCCATGCATCGTCTATAAAAACCACTGCTTTTGTCCCAAACCTTACACTTACAAGCATACCTTACACTTACAAGCATAAATGGGTCTGATTGGAATAAAAATAAATGTATGTACGTTACATTTCATTGTGGAATTGTCTATAAAAAGATTATTTATCTTTTGTACAAAGAGGTCATAATCACTCTTGTTTTTTAAATTTCAAAATGGGTAGTTGTAAGAGTGTCATTAAATAAACACAGTTCCAAACATAAATTGTCAAACCATCCAATTTGATATCTAACGAGTAGAAATAGTTAGTCACCTCTTTGTAACAAAAGATGAAAGAAAAAGTTTGTATAAGGTTGCAACCTTAAAATGTAGAATTAAAAATGCACCTAAAAAATAATAGGAAACCGTTGTTTTAATATTGAAAAACTCTCTAATTGATCATCTCGACATCTAAATGTATGAATATATGGAAAAAAAAGATTTTGAGTCCTAAAAATAGTGCATCTTGCAACACATTATCTAGATCGTCCATTTTCCAGATTTTCATATGTTTATAGATCTACTTGATTTTAACCATTTTTGGAGTTTAAAATTTTATAATTAGATATGAAAATAGATTTTGAGATAATCCTAAAAAAAATTTACACCAAAATTACATGTCATGATAGAATTTGGATGTACGTCGTAATTGGATTGTTTAAGGTTGCAATCTTATAAAAACCACAAGCAAAGATAAATGATCTCTTTGTAGACGATCTCTATTATTTTATATGAAAAATAACAGCTTGATTAGATCATTGCGGGACCCAAACCCTTCTCTCATGTCCATACTTTCGGACCTAGACCTTAATCCAAAAATAAACTCAAACCCAAGCCCAAATCCGATCCACCCATCTGGCCATTGATCAACATAACCCAATTAATGACACTACTTACGACCCACCACGCAGAGATATGATGGTAATAGCCAAATGACGTTGATCCCCCATTCTTGGAGAGGGGAGAGTATGTTATAGTAATATGGGAAATTTTTAAAATTGACGGTCTAGATGACGTGTTGCAAAATGCATTATTTTTTAGACTCAAAATCTTTTTTTTTTTTTGTTTCTTTTATATCTATACATCTCAATGTCGAGATGATCAATTAGAAGGTTTTTCAACATTAAAATAACTTTTTAAAATACATATATAATTCTACATTTTAAGATTGTAACCTTATATGAACTTTTTCCCTAAATAATATTAGATGGTGGAGAAAAAAACAAAAAGAGTTTCAAGGACTTATTTTTCATTTTTCTTTTTATGGTTAAATTAGGTTTGGTTTGACAAGGGGAGGTTTTGGCGTAGAGGTCTCTCCTGCAAACCTGAACAGTGCTCAACAAACTTTTCCTTCTTCTCTTTTTTTCTTTTTTTTCTTTTTAGTTTTTTTTTTTTTTTAAAATACAAAGAAAAAAATTTGGACCATTTTTTCGATTTGTGTGTATCATCATTGCACAGGGCCATGTCAATCATCTCTATATCATTCCAATTTTATAAGATGTTTCCAAAGAGACATTCTCAACAAACCAAGTTCATGCATGTAAAAATAAGTAAGTTGGACAGCACTAGAGCTGGGAATTCTCCAAAGAGACATTCTCAACAAACCAAGTTCTTCACACGTATAGTTGACATTCGTAGGAAAACAGCACTAGAGCTGGGAATGGACTGGGTAGCTTGGACAGGCCCGGTTGGCCTTGCCCTAAAAAGGAGGGCTTGGGCCACAAAATTGTGGCCTGAGTGTCGAGTTAGGGCTAGTGCCAGCCTGATTCGATCTGAACCGGTCCTCTTTTTTCTCATTTTTTTTATTTATTTTTCTTTATTTCTTTTTGAACCGGCTGGCCCCGGTTGGGCCAGCCCCATAGGAACAAGGGCCGGACTAGGGCTAAGGGTGGCCCAGACCGTTGCCACGCTTAAAGAACACCAACTCATCAAACAAGAAAAGTTGTTAAGAAAGAGCCAATCAGTGTACCTCCTACAAACTAGTTGTTGGCAAAATATGTCCGAGCTTTACATTAAAAAAAAAATTGAATTCAAATACATCAGATTTAATGTTATTGATCGTCACAAATCAATGAGGCTGAAAGACAAGTTTTATATGACAGCGGTGAGATTAGTTTTACTTTATGGGCCAGAATATTAGGCAGACAAAAAACAATATACCTATAGAATTAATGTAGCGGAGATGTTGAGATGAATGAGTGGTATGACAAGAAGGGATAGAATTTAAAATAAATCTGTTTAAGATAGTTTAGGCATGGCACTAATTGGCGAAAAAATGAGAGAGAGTAGACTTAAGTGGGCTGGCTATATGTGACGCCGACCAAGTACAACATATGTTAGAAGGTACGAGTTAGTTCAAGTGGAATGACTGAAAATGGAAAATGGTAGGCCCGAAAGGACATGGTTGAAACTAGTTGGAAAAGATATGGGGACTTGTGACATCACGGAGGATATGGCTTTTAATAGAGCAGAATGGAGAACCATGATTCATGTAGCCGACCCCAATTAATTGAGAAAAGGCTAAATTGATGCTATGATGGTTTAGCTCTAATTATTTTTCTATTGTGTTTCTAACATAGATTTGTTTGGACATGTATTGAATTTAATGAACCACAACAAAAACAAAAGAAAATTGGGCCTTCTCTCTCACTAATTTACCGTAAAAAATAATATATATATTATTGGAGCATATTTAATATTTAACATATCTATGTTGCTAAATTTCGTAAGGATGTTGGGTTGATGTGGTCTTTAAAGGCTTTATGAGTACTTGTAAAATGAAATGATATAGTGGATCATGAACTCAGTGGGAGTATGGTCCATCATAGACCATACTAAGTAAAACGATGGTTTGCTAATACCGATCTGTGCTAACGATCTAAGTCAGTAGGTTGGGAAAAACCCATGTTACCTGGGCATGAAAAACAAATCGATGAGGGTTTATGGGTTAGCCCTTGATGAGGTCGGAGAACATGCCCGGATGAGTGAGCCGAGGGACTGTGTGACCCTTGTGTGTGATGATGGCTTACTGAGACGGGGGCCAAAACCTCATCACATGGCATGCATATTGATAGATCATTTGGGAAAGCCAGATATCAACCTTTGGGTAAAGCATATGCATGTACGAGAGATACCCCTATGCGTCATAGAGCTGTGGTCGCATCAGGTCGTGGTGACCTTGACTCCTCTTTTCGGGGAGGACCTGTAATCCACAGACTGGGATTGCGATCCCTTGATTCATCGACCTGACTTTGGTGACCCGCTAATGAGCCCCTGCTTAGACTGTGGGTCATGAAAAACACTGCGTCGATTCGATAAAGCTAGTGTGGTCTGTAATCCACAGTTGAAGGTGGAGTACCCCGTTATTACAGATTGGATTCCTAAAACCATATGGATCATTTTCTCATCATATTAATTTAATTGCATTTATTTTATTATTGAAATTATTTTAGTTTTATTATTTGAATTTTTATGAATCTCTCAATATTTTATTTATGATTTTTGGACTTATAAAAATACAGTTATTGTTCTTACAAAGCTATAAAAATTCAAATATATATTTTAAATTGTTTTATTCAATTTTAAAAATCATATTTTTTTTATAATATTCCATGGGGGGCCCATAGTACACATGGGCCCACCATGTGGCATGTGGGTGGGGTTCACATGTGCCACAAAAGGGTGGCACGCCCCACCCTCTTTGGATTCTCTTGTTTGCTTTTAAGATAAGGTTAGTTTGATTTGTGGGATGTGGTCAAATCTTGGAAGAAATATATTGACCATAGCTTTATCTATTTTGTAACAAGTTTGTTTTAAAGAGATATGGTCAATTTGAATTGATATGGATCTTATTTTATTTATATTCGGTAGTATTTATCTACTTTATATTATTTGACATATCCTTATGGAATATGTGACATGGATCGTGTAATTTTATAGAATGCTTGATATTTATTTTATTTAAATATATTGATGGAAAAAT